GGGTATCACACAGCCATTACTGTTGGTATAATGTTCTTTTGAAATATACACACCTTACCCTTGTTCATTCAAATGCTGATTTCTCCCCACCACTCTCTGGTTTCAATCCAGATATTGCATTGTGATACTTATTTTAAGCATCCTGTCTCAACTTTGTGTAAACAGGCCAAAATAAAGCAACTAGACACAATGTTGAGCAATGGGAGGAGCCAGAGGACAGGAAAGAGGGGAGGAGCCAGAGGTCAGGAAATGAGTGGGAGGAGAAAGGGCGAGGAGAGAGAGGAGAGCTGAGCAGGAGAGAGATCTTGGAACAGCATGGAGAGAATGAACCAGACGTAAGATTTCACAAAAAGCAAGTATAATGGGTAAAATCTAAATGTTAGGAAACTATGAGGGGTTGGAGGTTTAGGAGGGAGTAACTATTGCCCAGCATTGTGTTCTAGGTTAACTAAATAAACCAGTCTCTGCGTAGTGATTTGATTATACAGCTGTTTAGGACTAACAGCAGCTTTACCAGAAGATATATCAATAATAAATATTAATCACCACATACAACACATTACAATCATCTCACAGCAACTGAAGTTGCTTCTCCTGGGCCTTCACAAAACTGGGCCTGTCACTAGTCAATCGTGAACGGATAAAATATTCACAGGACCACAATGAACAACTGTGTGGATTCTGGGGGAAAGGCAGTTATTTTCTTCAATTACATACCCATGAAGTGAGCCCACCAAGCTCCAATGGATAGTTTGAAACTTATGGCCACACAGATATTCCTGGTCATACTTAACGAGTCACAAAATAAAGACAAGAAGATAAGAGCTATAAAGAGATGGAGATTCACAAGAGTGGGAAAGAGATCAGGAGAGGGAATCAACCAGGTGTGTTATATACACGTATGAAGTTGTCAAAGGAGAAAATAAGTTATATATAAATATGCGAAAATTTATACAACACGAAGACAAAGCAGATGAGTACTGGGTATATAGCTCAGTAATAGAGTGCTTATTTGGCATGAAAAAGATTCTAGGTTTAACTATGTGATATTATCCAAGGTTAAAATTTAATAATTCCAAGGGAAAGGATAGGGAAAATATTGTTTTAGCAAAAACATGATATTGAGAGATACAAATTAGAGAATAAGAAGCTGTATTTTGTTTTCACTGGTGTTTTCATACATGTATTCCTTCACTACATTTCAGGAAGATACTTTCACTGTTGTGTTCTTAGATAGGAAATATTCTAGACCAATCTAATTAAAAAAACCTTCCTCACATATTTTTAAAATCAACTTTATTAAAATATAAACTCATTTTGTGGGAACATTATTTTTCAGCCTATTCAGAGTTATACAATAACCATCATCACAATGAATTTGGGAACCATTTCTATCATCCTCTAAAACAAAATAAAATCCCCAAAGAAAAAAATAAACCTCGTATTTAATTTAGAGCTTTTTTCTTACTGTTTCCAGAACCAGCTAACATGGGGGAACAAAGTGGCATTCCTATTATCATTTTTCCTTATTTGTCAAGGCCTCCTCCTCCAATTTCAGGATTGAGGCTGAGAGACAAGGACCAGAAGAAAATGACCTACACAGGTCATTTTATTGAACCAGTAGAGCATCAGCTTTTTAGTTTCCAGGATGTGGTGCTCTGAAGTGCTAAAACTGAAAAAACAAAACAAAACAAAATAAAAAACCATTTAAAATGAGATGGCTGTTCCTATGAACTGATGCTATAATTCACTTTTGCTTCATTAAAGTGTACAAAATAATGAAATGCATAGTTCAGTTTTGTTTGGCTAATGGCTATCAAATACATATTCTGTGATAGTACTTTCTAGGTATCTAACTCTTCAAATCCTGTCCTTCAGAAGGTCTTCCTTGGTTCAGTCCAGGTATCTGTCAATATTTGCAAAACAGTAGTTTCTGCTGTAGTCTTCCACTATTTGTAACTTAAGTATAACTGATGGGCTATGGTAGTTTAAAAGAAGATAATGAAATATAAGATTAAGTTCCCATTTTAACTAGTAAACAACACGTTAGTACCATGTAGAAATTTCAGGTCCCAACAACATTTTACATTTACACAGGATCATGCTTAACTCTTACTTCACTAGGATCTGCAAAATGACTGTTCTCTGATGGATAAATAATATTACCACGAACATCCATGCACAGAGTTGTGTAGACACTCAACATACTCACAGTTCTTTGGGTATATAATTGCTGAGTCATACTGCATCTCTGTGTTTAACACTCTGAAGATTTACCAAACTGTTCTGTTGTTGGTTATTAATATTTACTATTGAGTTATCTTTTAGTTAAACAGCGGTTATTCCTAAACAAGCTGTATACCCAAATCACCACACAGAGGCTGGGATTTATTTAACTAACCTAGAGCACAATGCTGGGCAATAGTTACTCCATCCTAAACCTCCAAGCTCGCATAGTTTCCTACCATTCAGATTTCACCCATTATAATTACTTTTAGTCATATCTTAGGTCCGTTTCCATGTTGTTCCAAGACCTCTCCTGCGCAGTCTCTGCTCCCCTCTCCTCCCACTGGCTTCCTTCTCCTCCCCTTCAGGCCAGGATGTCCCACCCTATTTTCTCCATTGCACAGCACTAGCTGGTTGTTTAATTGACAATTACAGAGAACAAATGGGGGCATGTTTACACAAACTTGAGACAGGTGATGCTTAGAATAAGCATCACAATGCAATGTCCGGATCGAAGCCGGATACTGGAGTAGAGAAGTGTGCATTTGAGTGAACGAGGGTACAGTCCACAAGATATTGCACCAACACTGCTCTATAAAAATAGCTGCATCATTTTATACCCATCATCAGTGCATGAAGGCTCTAGTTACCCCACATCTTTCCGCACTTGAGTAGTCATCCTTGTCTGTATAAAAAAGGGACTCACTATTTTTGATTTGCAGTTCCCTAGGGATTAAAGATGGTAACCATTTGTAACTTTCCTTTAGAAACTTCTATTTAAATAATCTGCTACTTTAAAATCAGATTGTTTTTCATGATTGAGTTTAAGTGTTTATATATTCTAGCTACCATACACTATCAGACATGATTGTAAAGATTTTTCCCCCATTTTTTCCAGGTGTCCTGGGTTATTGATGTTACCCATTGAAGCTTAAGTTTTTGATAAAGTCCAATTTACTCCTTTTTTTTTTACATTTGCCACATGTGCTCTTTGCCTAATCTACGACCACAGACTTATCATTTTCTTCTACACAGTTTGTGTTACTGATATTACATTTACATTTACATTTAGGATTCCTTTTACTTTTGTATATGGTATAAAAATCTAGTTCCAGGGCTGGAGAGATGGCTCAGCAGTTAAGAGCACTGGCTGCTCTTCCAGAGGTCCTGAATTCAATTCCCAGCAACCACATGATGGCTCAAGCCATCTATAATGTGATCTGATGCTCTCTTCTGGCCTGCAGGTGTACTAATAAAATAAATAAATACAGAGCACTCATAAAATAAATAAATAAATATATATTAAAAAAAATCTAGTTCCAGTCTTTTGCATGTGGATATATAGTTTTATTTCAGCATCATTTGCTAAGACTATCCTTTTCTTTTTTTCTTTTTTTTGAGACAGTTACTCTGTGTAGTGTTGGCTGTTCTGGACTCAATTTGTAGACCAGGCTGGCCTTGAACTCAGTGAGATCCTTTGTCTCCCCGACTGCTAGGATTACAGGCATGAGCGACCACACCTGGATTGTTAAAACGATTTTAAACAAATTTCCCAATGAAGGTATTAGACTTCTACTATATTGTTAGCTCAGCTGACAGCCCAGAAGGTAAAAACCAAAAGCTTGCTAGCTCAAAGCTCAAAAAGGCCCAAGAGCCAGAGCTAAAGCTTAAGCACTAGAGAGCTAGAAGCGAAGCTAAAGCCAAAGAGCTGAAAGAACCTTCTACTTCTACCCACTGTCTTAAATACCCCACAACTCAAAATTCCTATTGGGATCCGTAAGCAGGCATCTCTATGGCCAGCCCAAGGGACCTGATAAGCCAGATATCAGGCATCTGTGAAGCCACCTATGGACCACCTGAAACCACCCACGCATGCTCTGGGTCACCTTGTAAGAGGACAAACACCACCTCCAATCTCTCTCTCCTGCCCTACCCAGATTCGGTATCTGTGACCCCTTCCCTCTTCCCTTACTAAACCTCCCATGTGGAACCGATATTGTGGCGTGATTTGTGAACCCACTGTGAAACTTTGCTCCACAATCCTAACACCTCCTACTCTTTAACCCCAGCCGGCTGGTTTCTTCCTCCACCTCTTGACCTAGGATTAACTTTATTAAACCCTGTGTACAGAAAGCTCTTGGATTAAAGGTGCGTGCTAGGGCTGGGTGAACCACACCATAATTACCTGTTTACAATAAACAGAATGTTCTTGATTTAAGATGAGTGATAGGGCTCAACCACACCAAATAAGAAACAGTGCTTTACAGTTCACAATTTTGGGGTTCACAATGGGATCAAATATCCTGCAACACTATGTCCTTGCCTCAACTTGGATGTTAGAATGTAAAGGAAAGAAAGAAAAAAATTCAAGTTTGGGATTATTTTTTTAAAGTTTCATTTATTTATTCATTCATTTATTCATTCATTCATTCATTCATTCATTCATTTATTTATTATGTAAATATTATTATGCCTGCAGGCCATAAGAGGGCACCAGCTCTCATTATAGGTGGTTGTGAGCCACCATGTGGTTGCTGGGAATTGAACTCAGGACCTCTAGAAGAACAGACAGTGCTCTTAACCACTGAGCCATCTCTCCAGCCCAAGTTTGGGAATTTTTATGCTAAACCATATAACCTTTACATTTCGCCCAGAACAATAAATCCAATTAGTACATGATAGAAAGAAGAACTAAATGAAACAGAAAAGCAAGACTGTCTTCTTTCATAGTAAGCTACTGACGATATTAAGTCAACAAATTTGAGACTATAACATAATAGAATGTGAATTTTTATTTTACAGACAAAAAGGCAAAAAAGTGACCCTAAATTGACCCTAAACCAAATTCTCATTTCACATTTTACCAGTTCATCAGTTAATTCCACTAAAAACTGACTAAGCCTTTCTCTGTGGAACAAGAACAGACTCAATTTCCCCATGATCACAGCAATGACTAGCAAAGAAAACTGATTGCATTGTTGTTCCAATTTCTTTTTCTTCTTAGAAACATACTCCATGGCCATGTGGAAGATAACTGTAGATTCAACTTCTGCCTTTACACTGTGATATCCTTGACTTTCAGAGAAGTTTAACTAAACGAGGACATCCTTTGCAATAGCATTCAAAGTCCTTACTTTTGTCACATCTGTTACCTTCATTGAATACTCTGAATGAGCAAGTGATGCTCCCATTGCAACAGAGGAATTTCTGCAATAGAAATAACAAAGAACAGATAGATAATCCTATCAGTTGTTAAACACACCCTCCTACAGGCACTTTGCTTTATAGACTAATTCATGGCTCAGAATAAGGGAAGATCAAGGATGGCAGACTACCATACTCCACAATTTTCATTACTTAATTACTTGAAAAATCTACTAGCTAAGTTTACCTGGCAGGAGATTGGATTTTATATCTGAAAATGTGCATACTAAGAGTCTTCCTTTTTTCATTGCACCTCCCTTTCCCAACTAGTAAATGAGATGATTCAACCTAAATTGTAGAAATCCTTTAGGGTATTAATAAAACATGCAGTAGATTAAAGTCCTTAATGGCAATAAACTTTCAAAACAACTGCAAGTAGAGAGCAAAGGTAAAGGAAGAGTATTTACAGTAGGAGAGATAAAATGGTCCTGACGCTGCCTTATCAATTATTAACTTTGTAAATGGAAAGCATACAGAAGGGTTCATGTTAATATCTGACTCACTGGATACTTTATTAAGTACCTAAGTTCAGGAATGCTTTAGTTAGGCAATATTTCCACTCAATTAACAGTCTCTCTCTTAATAGACTCACAGTCTAGATATAACCACAACAATGATGAGGGCTACCAAGACCAAGCAAAGACTAGATACAGGATTACTTAACTTCTGAAGTTACTGCTTATTTATGGCAGAGCAACAATCATTTTACAAATACTTTTCAACTGAAAAAGTAACCATAATACTTCCTTATCACAGCATTCCATTATTTAATAATGGCATTAACTAAAGTTTTCTTATTTAAACAAGCAAAGATTAATTTCATCTTCTCCTGTATATAAATAAGGAATGCATTTGTACCGAAACTTCATTCCCGAATCTCTAGAAGACCGAGCAGAACAGTGGAATTCGGTAGCACCAGAACCCTCAAGGATCCTTTGCAGATTTTTATCTGTTATGCCACCCCCTGTTACAAAGAAAAAGTAATATATTAAATGGAACAGAACATCACATAAAATTTCAATATAGTGAAATCCTTATTCTACATAACCTCTCTATTCTAAAAATGTTCACTGATTCAAGGATTACTGTCTCTAAGCTAACATGAGATCAGAAAACAAAATCTATGGCGCAGATCTAGAGAACTTTTAAGGACAGAGGGCTTATACTGAAATCTCATTTATCCACTGGTTTATGTCACAATGCCATGCATTACTATCTTTGCATTTAAAAAGACTATTCTGGACAAGGAAAATTATTCAGAACTTCATCGCTACTTTCCTATCAACTTAAAACCAAATATATGGGAAAATCAAATATATGAGAAGGTCAAGATAGGCCTGAGGAAAAAGCTACAAAAGCATCAGAAAATTATCCTCAACAGAAATCCTGTAATGTTTTTGCTCTGGCCCAGGTTTTGAAGATTGTACTGGACTCTACTAGAAATGAGTAACTAAACTATTTACAGCTTGTTCATCATACTACTAACTTTTGTTTCATTTTACTGAAGAATCTAATTTTACTTTATTTAAAGCACATAGCCAAGATGACATTCATTTGGATAATCTTGAATATATTTGTAATAGTTATAGTCTGAACTGATACTGGTAATTATAAGTATGAAGTTATTCATCCTTATATTCTGATATAGTAGATCTATTTAAAACATTTTAGGATGGTATTAGTTATGTACTTTGTACTTTAAGCTACGGTTTTTTGGTTTTTTTTTTTTTTTTGTTGTTGTTTTTTCCAGTTTCTTGAGACAGGATTTCTCTGTGTGTAGTTTTGGTTGTCTCTCACTCACTCTATGTAGACCAGGCTGGCCTTGAACTCACAGAGGTCTGTCCGCCTCTGCCTCATGAGTGCTGGCATTAAACGCATGTGCCACCATCGCCAGCATAAGCTATGTTTTTAATATACTTCCTCAGACGCATTAACTTGGCTTTTTGTTGCTGTTGCTTTTAGTGCTGAGTCATATTGCTGAACCCTAAGACGTGGAAAGAATAAATCAGGCAGAGTGGGTAATGTCTCTAATCTCAGCATTTGAGGCTCAGATTAGCAGGATGGCCTCATGTTTGACCAGCCTGGGCTACATAATAAGACCCTGTCTAAAATGAAATAATAAAACAAAATAGAAAGAACACAGACTGACAAGCCAGATTTAGATTGTAATTCTGGGCTTTCCCTCTGTAACTAAAAAGCTGTGTGGTCTTGTAGAAATTATCAAAACTACTGAATCTCAATTGATTTTAGTGGAAATTCTTTGAGCTATTTAAATGTAGGTTCAGCATATATATAGTCTTTTTAGGTTGAGATATATTCCTTCTAGCCTTGCTTGCTTCTGAACTTATGAAGAAGCTGGATTTTGATATTTGATTTGCATCCTGAAGTCTGTTGATGCAACTGTATGAGCTGACTGAATGTTCCATTTATTCAGTCACCCTGCCTAACATTTGGCTTTATTATAGGACAGCAATATTGAACTTGCTTTGCCTCACCAAGATGAACATCCAAACTCATATTCTACACTGTAAGAAAACAAACATGGAGAAATTCCTTATTTGCTCCTCTCTGAGCCAACCTTTGTTAGAACACTCTTCTGTTAAATCCCAGCAGAGACCTAATCTTAAAACATTTTAATCAAACTATGTATTTTTATCTCTGCATACCATGTTCTAACACTCTCTCCCTTGTTTTCTTGACTCACTTACTCTTCTAAAACTTTATTTCAGTATTATATGAAAAAAGCAGATAAATACCTGGCATTACCACAATCCTGCCTTTTGCCTGAAAAAGGGTGAAAAAAGTAAATTTTAGTGTCTTTCTCTAAATTGAGATTAATAAGTATATTTAAAAATATAAGTTAGTGCTAATGGTTAACTTTTCACTAGCTCTTCTCTCTCTCTGAAGGTTACTGAGCAAAAAAGATGTTCAGCATTGTAACTTTTTTTCCAAAAAAATTCATTGTATTTCTTTAAAAATATATTGTTATAAATACAAAGACTAGGTAGAAATATACTTTATAATCATACCACCTTAAGAAACAATCTTACAAGAAAACCACAGAAATTTTGAGTTTGTGGTATGCAGTGAAATAAAAATAGTTGCATCTAAGTAAAAGTTCGGCAAAAAAGACAATATTTACAATTAATGGGGGAGTGGGAAGGTGGGAATCCATTCAAGTCTTGCCTCATCAAATAAATACCAACAAAATAAAGCCATAAATTTATTAACTAAGACTATAAGAATTTGATTTCTGAAAATTTTGGAAAATACAAACAAATAATAAAATTATATTGCCTACCCATTCTCCTAAGAGTCTATCTTTCCAGAAAAATCACTTTTCTCCCACAGCCGCCCTTCTCAAGACTCCTCCTCACCTATTAAAGTCATATGTAAGCCCCTAATTCTAACCATCTCTTTGAGTTATATTTCTTTGCTAACACACACACAGTTAAGCATGCATTCTTTTGTTGGATTATATGCCCCAGGAACTAAGCATCATAAGAGTTAAATAGTTTAAAAAGATAAAAAATAGTAAAAATAGATAGAAAAACCTATCCCTTTCACAAGCTGAACAGAGAAAGTTCTTATTGACATGGAACTTTGTTGGAGGTTGGGCTGATGCTAATTACTGGCATTCAAGATCTGATTACTGTCTGCCAGATACACCCATCCTTGCTTGTGTAAAACTGTCTAAAACATCAATTGATTCATTAAATGGGTTATACCTGGGCAGGGCAGAATAGGGTAGGCGTGGCTAAGGTTCCCAGGCTTTTGAGGATGGAAGAATCAAGGGAGACAGACAGCCGGGAAGAGAGGAAGGAGGATGTCATGATGGGTTAGCCTGAAGAAGAAACCCCATGGGACTTGGAGGAAGGACTCCAATAATGGTGTGAAAAGGCCCAGATGAAGAATAAAAGGAAGTATTTAAAAGATTATGGACGAAAGCTAGGATGGTTAAGGAGGATGGCACTGCACTGGATGGGGGCTGGGAGATGAACGGTGAGGTGATTTAGACAGTGTAGGTCGGAACATCTACCTGGACCACGGTGAATAAGACAATTATAAAATCTAACAGGTGTCTGTGTCTTATTATTTGTGATAGCGAGTTAGATAATACCACCATGATAATCATAGGGCTAATGATAAATATTATATAACCCAACACCCAATTTTAAATTACTCTAACAGAACTTATATATTAAAGAAAGACAGATAACAGATAAACATATTGATATAATAAAATTCCAGAAAGCAAGTACAACAAAGATAAAATATAGTCAGGTAATGAAATAAAGACTAAGAGAGAGGGGGCTAGTTTACAACATCAGTAATTGTTAGAAAAACTATCTGGAACAAAGATGTTCCATGTTCTCAAACATGTAAAAGTAAAGCATCCACAAAATATTCACTATCTTAGAAATTGAAACTATTTTAGAAGGGGAAAGTCACATTTGTTTCTCCCAAATGAAAGCTTTCCAAAATAAAGACAATATATAATTATATATAATAATATATTATATATAATAAATATATTATTATATTATATAATATATTATAAATTATAAATAATATAATGAATAATAATATAACATACAGTTGTATAATATATAATATAATATTTAATATTATATAATATATAATATATATATATAAGACATATAGCATGCTTAGGTAATTTGCTTAGGAAAATTAGTAAGTGGCAAAACCAAGATTTAAGACTGAATTCTAATCCAACAGTCTGTGTTATGTATAGTACTGTATAATAGTACTAAATAGTTACTCAAGGTATAAAAAGTTAGTGCAATTGTGTTAGTCAATGATTAATATATAAATACACACACAGTGGCGGGGAGGGGGGAAAACTTTAAAAATACATGACTGTAGCAACCATTGTACCGTATTCTCTATTCTTCAGTCATCTTTTAAAACTAGAAACCTGGTTCACCAACTCTTCTATTCCAAAACATTTTAGGCCTCCCCAGAGCCAAAGATTAAATATGAAATGCTATTTAGTAAGGTTTCCAAGGTTCTAGATAGTCTTTTTTTTTTTCACTTCAAATTCTGCTCATTCCTCAGTTCCTCAAATCATGCCTACTCTTGTTTCCAGGTCTTTGAACACACTATTTCTTCTGCAGAAACAATGACCAACTTTGACAGAATAACTTTCAAATACCCTTCAAAGGAGTAAGACATCGAAGTTTGGAGTCTTTTTATCTAGGAAGTTCTAACTACTACCAACCTTCATCCCTGAGAATCTGGAATTAATTCCACTCCACTGTGCCCCTATAGTACCTTGCAAAAAACAAAACAAAACAAAACAAAACAAACCTCTATTAAATAGTACCTACCGTAAAAAGATTGTATGGGCGGGAACTGTGTATGCACACATATATATATGCACACACTACTTGGCCACCAAATGTATAAATGCCCTGTACCTAATATATACTTATTAAGTAAATATTTGTAAAAATCAATACATTTCAGAGTAACGAAATCACATCCAATCCTTAAGTGAACCTACTGAACATTACTTATGAAAACTGAAAATAATCAGATGTCTACACAAAAACGCTAAATTGATACTGTTGATAAAGGCAGTAATAATAGAAATAACACATACTAAGGCCCACTACATGCCACGCACTGTGCTAAGATCTGGATACATTTTACCTTCTTCAGTTCTTTACAAAACAAAACAAAACAAAACAAAACAAAACACCCCTTTTAATGAGAAAATTAAACTTTTCTCAATTTTACACAAAGATGTTTACAGGTTAGTGCCCTCCTTAATACCACACAGCAAATAAATGTCAAACCTGAGGCTCGGGCATAGAACTCTCATAACAGAAAGTCTGTACTCAGTAACTTAGAATGTCTCTGAACTGCTCAGAAAAATACAGCTGTCTTTTAATGACAAAGCAATCTTCAGGCTGGCAAGATGGCTCCTGGGTAAAGGCACTTGCTGCCAAATCTGAAAACCTGAGTTCAATTCCGAAACCTACACAGTGGACATGTGCCTGGGCATACACACAAACAAATGCAAAAAAAAAATTGTTTTGAAAAAAGCAACCCCTGACTGTTCTACAAATCTAGCTCACTGGGAGAAATCATAGGAGAAAACATTTTCTTCTATATTGATAGGTGGGAAAGTTTAAAAAACCCTGTAAGTTTTAGGATATATGTACAGATAAATACTATAAAGTTTACAGGGTTCTCCTGCATATACAGTAAAAAGATGTGGTTGTATATCTAGGAAATACTAATGACAAAGAAAAGGTACAATTTGTTGTCTATAATTTGATATAAAGTGCCTTGATTATTAAAAACACCCATCCAATAGATAAAAATTATATGACCGTATCATTGGCTTTGCTTTTCTTTCATAATCACAAAGTCAGTAATATTCATTTTCATAAACCAGCTGAATAACAGACTTTCCAGAGTAACCACAACCATCTTAAAAAGTAAAGAAAAAAGGTGCCTTACCTCATCTATGAGTTGCTTTATCAGAGGCAGTCCTTCTAGTGCTGAGCTGTCACATCCGCTCGTCAAAACACGTTCAAATCCCAAAGTCAAGAGGGTCTCCAGAGCTGCCATTGGATCATGAACCATATCAAAGGCTAAAATAAGTAAAACTGATTTGAATGTAACAGAAATATCCTCTAATTCAGAGATTCCAAAATATAGTGTGAATATATATATACTATTAAATATATATTCAATTATATATAAATGTATATATACTATTATATATAGTATATAATAGTATTTTATTTATATATAAATGTATATATGCTATTAAATATAATTGAATATATAAATATCATATGTATATAAACATAAATAAACATAAACATATGTATATATAAATATATACTACATTAAATATATAGTATATATAAATATATATAATTGAATATACAGTATATATAAATATACATTCAATTATATAATAGTTGAATATATTCAATTATATATAAATGTATACATATATACTATTGAATATCTATTTAATAGTATATATACATTATTGAATGGATAGTATATATTGAATATCTAGTATATATATCATAGTATGCTAGATTTATGCTAGCCTACATTATACAATTATAGAATATTTATAATTTTGTAAGTCAGGCTGGCATTTAAAATTAGTCAAGGTAAAGCATTTAAACCATAGAAACTAGGAAATGCTACAAACCAGAGTTTATTCTTTCTTTTCTTTTTGAGACAGGGTCTCATCACGGAGCTGTAATTAGCTTGGTGATTACTACACAGTGAGTACTATGTAGACCCGGCTGGCCTCCATCTCACAGAGATCTACCTGCCTCTGCTTTTAGGGTTGCAGGATTAAGGACATGTACCATCATGTCAGCTCTAAGAGTTTTTGTTTATTTGTTTTTTTATTCCTAAGGGTTCTTTTTCTTTTCTTTTTAAAAAATTTATTGATTTTTCTGTACGACTGGTGTTTGGCATACAAATGTGTGTGAGAGAGTGGGACCCACTGGAATTTGGGTTACAGACCCAACAGTTGCGGGCTGCCATGTGGGTGCCAGGAATTGAACCAGGGTCCTCTGCAAGCGCAGCCACACTCTTAACCCCTGACCACCCCTCAAGACCCTCTTCTTATTTTCCAAGAGTCAGCGTTTGCCACCCCAACATCTGCATATTCCTGGTAATCGGAATGGTCATTTTACCAGCACATATTTCAATAGGTGCATTTATTTAAATGAAAATTAGAAGTGGCAAGTTTAAATTTTTCAGTAATCACAAATGTTTCTCTTTAAAATAAACTTACTTAAAAGCTTATTGTAAAAAAGCATTAATGAATTTATGCTAGCATTTAGACATGACAATGCTGTAAATGTGGCAGGTGAATGATCACATCTGGAAAAGTGCTCTAAGGTTTCAAGACAAACTACACTGCATAAAATGAAACATACTCGCCTGTCCTACGAGAAACCTGGCCTCACCTTCACATTTATTGAGTAATAGTTTATAGCGAATCATTTACCTGATATACTCAAGTCTCACAGTGTAAGGCTGGTTGTTTTCAACAGACTATAGGAGGTTTCAACTGCATTCTACTAAGATACTTTCTAACTCCAGTCAGGCATGGAAGCACAGGCTTGTAATTCTCGCACTCAGGAGGAGGAGACAAGAGGATTCCAAGTTCCCGGCGGGAGGAAAGGAGAGATGAAAGGGGAAAGGGAGAGAACTTCTCTCTTCAGAACACTAAGAAAGGAAAGTAGCCTAACCTTAAAAAAGATAAAACTCCTGTACCAATGTGTTCTAGGGTATTCCCCACTTTTTTTTCTAGCCGATTTAATGTGTCTGGTTTTATGTTGAGGTCTTTGATCCACTTGGACTTCAGTTTTGTGCAGGGTGATAAGTATGGATCTATTTTCATTTTTCTACATGTAGACATCCAGTTGGACCAGCACCATTTGTTAAAGATGCTATCTTTTTTCCATTGTATGGTTTTGGCATCTTTGTCAAAAATCAGGTGTCCGTAAGTGTGTGGGTTTATTTCTGGGTCTTCTGTTCGATTCCATTGATCCACCATTCTGTTTCTATGCCAGTACCATGCAGTTTTTATAACTGTTGCTGTATAGTACAGCTTGAGATCAGGGATGGAGATACCTCCAGAAGATCTTTTATTGTAGAGGATTGTTTTAGCAATTCTCGGTTTCTTGTTATTCCATACGAAGTTGAGAATTTTTCTTTCCAGGTCTGTAAAGAATTGTGTTGGCAATTTGATGGGAATTGCATTAAATCTGTAGATTGCTTTTGGTAAGATGGCCATTTTTACTATGTTAATCCTGCCAAGCCATGAGCATGGGAGATCTTTCCATCTTCTCATATCTTCCTCTAATTCTTTCTTCAGAGACTTGAAATTTTGTTCATACAAGTCTTTGACTTGCTTGGTTAGGGTTACGCCAAGGTACTTTATGTCATTTGTGGCTATTGTGAATGGTGTTGTTTCTCTAATTTCTTTCTCAGCCCTTTTGTCTTTTGTATACAGGAGTGCTACTGATTTTTTTTTTTTGAGTTAATTTTGTATCCAGCCACTTTGCTGAAGGTGTTTATCAGCTGTAGGAGTTCCCTGGTAGAGTTTTTGGGGTCACTCATATATACTATCATATCATCTGCTCATTGGTACAGGAGAAAACTTCCTGAACAGAACACCAACAGCACAGGCTCTAAGAGCAACAATCAATAAATGGGACCTCATGAAATTGAAAAGCTTCTGTAAAGCAAAGGACACCGTCTTCAAAACAAAGCGACTGCCTACAGATTGGGAAAGAATCATCACCAACCCTCTATCTGACAGAGGACTCATATCCAATATATATAAAGAACTAAACAAGCTGAAAAGCAACAAACCAAGTAATCCACTTAAAAAATGGGGAACAGAGCTAAAGAGAGAATTCTCTGCAGAGGAATATCGAATGGCAGAGAAGCACTTACAGAAATGCTCAACCTCATTAGCCATTAGGGAAATGCAAATCAAAACAACCCTGAGATTTCACCTTACACCCATCAGAATGGCCAAGATGAAAATCTCAAGGGACAACACATGCTGGAGAGGTTGTGGAGAAAGGGGAACCCTTCTCCACTGCTGGTGGGAATGTAAACTGGTACAACCACTCTGGAAATCAATCTGGCGCTTTCTCAGACAACTAGGAATAGCGCTTCCTCAAGATCCAGCCATACCACTCCTAGGCATATACCCAAAAGAGGCGCAAGTACACAAAAAGGACATTTGTTCAACCATGTTTGTAGCAGCTTTATTTGTAATAGCCAGAAGCTGGAAACAACCCAGATGCCCCTCAACTGAAGAATGGATGCAGAAACTGTGGTACATCTATACAATGGAGTATTACTCAGCAATGAAAAATAAGGAAATCATGAAATTTGCAGGTAAATGGTGGGACCTGGAAAGGATCATCCTGAGTGAGTTGACCCAGAAGCAAAAAGACACTCACGGTATATACTCACTCATATAAACATACAATATAGAATAAACCCACTAAAAGCTGTACATCTAAACAAACTAAGCAAAAGAGAGGACCCTAACTAAAATGTTCAATCCCCATCCTGAAAGGCAAAGAGGATGGACATCAGAAGAAAACGAAAATAGGAAACATCCTCGGAACCTGCTACAGAGGACCTCTGAAAGCCAGAAGAAAACAGGAAACAACCTTGAAACCTGCCACAGAGGGCCTCTGAAAGCTTCTGCAGTATAGACTGTCAAAGCAGATGCTGAGCCTGATGGCCAACTGATGGGCAGAGTGAATGGAATTTTATGTAAGAAGTGGGAAATAGTAAGAGCTGGAGGGAACGGGAACTCCACAAGCAGAGCAACAGAACAAGATAATTTGAACACATGGAACTTCCCAGAGACTCATACTCCAACCAAGGACATTCGTGGAGATGACCTGGAACCCCTGCACAGGTGTAGCCCATGGCAGTTCAGTGTCCAAGTGGGTTACATAGTAATGGGAAGAGGGACTGCCTCTGACATAATCTGATTGGCCTGCTCGTTGATCACTTCCCCCTGAGGGGGGAGCAGCCTTACCAGGCCACAGTAGAGGACAAGACAGCCACTTTTGATGAGAACTGATAGACTAAGATCAGAAACAAGAGGAGAACCTCCCCTATCAGTGGACTTGGGGAGTGGCATGCATGCAGAAAGGGGAGGGAGGGTGGGATCGGCAGGGGAGGAGGGAGGGGCTTATGGGGGGATACAAAATGAATAATGTGTAATTAATAAAAAAAAAGTATAAAAAAAAAAAAAGATAAAACTACTTCTGCTTTGGTGCTCAGTGCTGTCACTGAGCACAAGGTTCTGAGGTACTATGACACTCCTTTCCCCCCTTTTACTGTACACAGGCAGCTAATTTACTACAGAGGTTTATTCATTAATTTTATGTATATAAATGCTCTATCTATATGTACACCTACATGCCAGAGAAGGGCATTATATCAGATGCCCTCTTAATATAAGAGGATCTCATTATAGATGGTTGTGAGTCACCATGTGGTTGCTGGGAATTGAACTTAGGACCTCTGAAAGAACAGCCAGTGCTCTTAACCACTGAGCCATCTCTCCAGCTCTGGTTTTCTCTGTTTTAGTGCCATCACTTTCTCAACAGTGGTTATACTGCCTTATCAAATTAACAAGTGAGGAAAAGGTGGAATTTCAGACTACACTGCGTAAAATGAAACATTATACTCGCCTACTAATATTTTGGTAAATTGTGATAATATTTTCGTTAAGAGCTATTGGAGAAAGAGAAAGGAATAGAAATTTGAAATCATCTTTTGGTTTAAAACTTTAAAAATATATTCTATGTGACTAGTTCATTTTTTAAAAACTATTAGGCATAAAAAAAGTATTAGGCATGACAAAAATTAAACTATTTTTTTCCAGATGTTTACTTAAAAATATTTTTCAGGTTTGAAATTTTTTTGTTGGTGTGCCTGGCCTCAAGATGCTGACAGCTTAATGTCTTTTAGTTATTGGCATCTTATAAAACACACTGCTAATACCAAATCGAAAAAATAGTTTCTGGTAGTATCATACATTTCAAAGGGCAACAAATACTTTATCCTAATTCCTATAAATGAAGACAAATGCTGGCAATTCACTCTAAGGCTATTTAAAAAGAAGAAAACATTTAACACTTTCTCAAGTCTATCAGTATTTTAACTAAAGATCTCTTTATTTTCATGGGCAACGGCAGTGCCTTCTAACCACAAGTAATACTCGTCCCTCAATTTTGCCCGGGGTCAGTACGATTTTGCCAAAGCACATGGGAACTATTAGCATCTATCTCTGATATAGAATGTCTGATTCTTGTTCAGACATCTACTTTCTCTCCCCACAAGAGGTCTCTATTTGATAAAACTAGCTCTCACTGCTAGCTCTACGAATGATTCTGTCTGGAATAAGCCAGGCAGTACATTTCATTTCAATGGCTCTGGTGATTTATTCTATTTAGGACTGTATATGATCTAAGGTAATCTAATAAAAAAAATGAATCTCAGGATTGCTACTTGGTTGGACGCATTTAAGTGCAATCTTTACTCTCTTGAGTATAGCTACAAGTACTTTCTAATAACACTCATAACAGAGCTTTCAAGGTTCCTAGATACAACACACTATTTCTTTGTCTATAATTTTTCTTCCCAAGAACTAAGATACTAACTAGTATTACTGTAACATTATAAAACAGTGCTCATTAGAAAGGTTGTGCCATCTGGTAAAATTTGAAAACTGACACCATTTAACAAACCCATTATAACAGAAAATGACTCACCTCGGTGGAAAGTGACTGGCAGAGGACGGCAAAGAGCTATAGAAAGAAAGTCATAAAATAATGTGAAGAGGTTCGTTGCTATATGTGGAATTTTTCTTGGGCAAAACTTCTATATTTTCTTTTGCTAAGACAGTGCTGCTCTGAAGCACTTCAAAGACTGCTCTGAAGATCTTCAAGAAAAACTTTGGCTTCATACAGTAGGTAGTCTTCATCTATCCTCTCCACCTTCTCACCTTATCACTGACTATAATAACCTCTCAAGGTTTAGTGCACTGGTTAATGTAATCAGTGTTAAGTTTCTCTTAAACTCTGCAAGAGAAGTACACCATGAAGGAGTGCTAAGATGGCTTTGCCACATATGCTCTCTACCTCAAATACCCAAACAACTTCTTTTTTAAGCTAGGTTAGTTTAAATATCTGCAGGTAAGACTGAAAAATCCATTTTGTGAAATTTTTTTTTTCTGCATCAAAAGCGTGGGTTTGTACATTAGAGGCCTTTACACCTCAGATATAAATTCTTACCCACAAGAGATGTGCATAGCTCTTTGTCAATGTTCCCATCTTCAGTCAGTGCCCCAAATACCAAACCATCAGCACCATAAAGCTTGGCAAGACGGATGTCAGCCTTCATCACCTCAACTTCACGATCTGAATATAAAAAATCACCTCCACGGGGTCGAATCATTACAAAAACTGGAATCTGAACACTCTGTTTTACTACTTGAAGAATACCTTTAAGAACAGAAACAGACTAAAGTTCAATTGTAAGCTGAAGGATCTGAAGACATTATTAAAATATTACTGGTCATACAGTTATTCTTACGTATTATTTCTAAAGAAAAAGAGGCAACAGAAGAAATCGGAGAACAATTATATAAAGGGAAGAAGGCCTGTGGAGAATGGATGAAGCCTTGAGTAAATGTGTAAAGAATGAATGAAGTCCTGACTGAATGTGAATTATTAAAAAGGACCAAAGCCTCAGACCCATGAGAGCTGGCAAAGCCTTGCCCTGGTCCAAGGATGGGTATTTATAAATGATTGACCAGCATGTGCAAAAACTAGAAAGTTCAGCTTCTTCCCCGCAGATGATCACAACCTGAGATTGCTCCAGACTTCATACTGAGACCAGCTTACTCTTCTGCCTGTGCTGTACATGATAAACATGCTGAGGCTCCAGGCTGTTGCATAGCTAGTGGCACTCCATCAAAGTATAATCCATCCCATTGTAGTGTCTCTGTGTGTGTGAGTGTATGTGTGTCTGTCCTTGCTTCATTTCCTCATTGCCTGAGTAAAGTTTCCAGGACCAAGCCGTGCAGGATGCAGTGCAGGCCAGTGAGGGAAAATAAAGTGTTTATGTGTTTATGATAGAAACTAAGTAAAAGGAAAGTCAAGGGTTAAAAAGGAACAAGTTAGAAAGACTGAAGGTACTACAATTTAAAGGCACTTGTCAGTTGATACCACAAAAATTTCTGATGTTTAAAAACAAACATATGTTTGATTAAATCTTTTGATGATGTTATTTACAGCCACAAGAATTGTGGCCAATTCTAACTGGCATCATACTGATTATATACTTAACATATCATTAAATAATCAATTGTCCAAACCTGTGTATAAAAAATTTGATGAAAGAAAAAAAGATACTTACCCATGCTGGGTGTGGTTCCTCCTTCCAATAAGCCAGAACATAATTCAATCCGACCAGCACCTGTGATGAACACACATTTTTAAAAGTTCCTGTAACAAAACAAACTGTTTATCTAAATATGAGACAAGTCTGAGAACTTAATTGAAAGAAATCAACTATAAAATTAGGGTAAAATTTTAAAAAATTTCAATTGTATTCTACACCCCTCATTCTGTTACTGATAGCCAAATTAAGAGTTAATTCAAGTTAAACCAGTTCTCTTAAAATTTGTATTAAAGAGTTGCTGTGCACAGGGAATAAAGAGTATTAGACAGAAAACAGAATGTTAACTCTCAATCAATAAAAAAGTAATATCAACTTTTCAAAGCATTCCTCATTACTCTGAGCCTTGAAAAACAAAACAACAGAAAACCAGAATGGTTACTTTGGAGTAGCTATCAAGAGAATCTCAACATGAAGACAACGTTGACAGCAAAAGAACTCCTAGACTATTGGGGTCATAGTAAAAGTTCTCGGGAACGAGGCTCTTACTAGCCAAAGATAGGACATTTTAAGCATCAATAAACAAAATAACTATGATAGAGTAAAACATATATGTCTAAATCTAGTTTTATAATGGTGAAACAACTCATTGCAGGATAGCAAACAGATGTTATTCTGAAAAATCAGTGATCAGAGAAGCCAGCCCTTCTCCCTCTCTCATACAAAGCAAATGACCAAATGAAGAGAAAGTTGTTCTTTCTAGATGTATTTAGTTAATAAATAAATAAATAAATAAATAAATGTATGTTAAGCAGGGCATGGTGGTACACACCTGTAATTCTAGCACTTGGAACAATGAGGTAGAAACATTATCATGAGTTCAAGGCCAGCCTCAAGTACACAGTGATAACCTATATATGTCCCTCTTAAAACAAAACCAACCCTAAATATATAAATATATTTATATAAATATATATATAACATATTATGTATAATATAACATATATATGTTGTACATAATATATATGTATATATATATATATTAATAGGTTAGCAGATGATTGGAAAACTTACAAAAGATAGATCAGGTTGGTAACACCTGAATAATCTTAACATATCTCTCTCTCTCTCTCACACACACACATAGGCAAACCAAACAGAAAACCACAAGATGCCCGTCTAATGTAATACAACAGGAAATAGTCTATAAAGCAATTTTTAAAAATTATTTTTATATTTAAAAAGTTTTTATTTTAATTTTGGTGTTTTGAGACAGGATCTCCCTAGATAGCTCCGGCTGTTCTGGAACTAAGTAGATGAGGCTAGCCTCAAACTTACAGAGATCTGCTTACTTCTACTTCCTGAGAGCTGGGATTAAAGACATGCACCACCTTGCCCAGTTTATTTAATTTGTATGTATGGGTGTTTTGCCTGTATATCTGTGTACCACATGCAAGCCTGCTGCCCATAGAGGGCATTGAGGGCTGCCCATAGAGGGCATTGGATTCCCGGGAACTGGAGTTAAAGACAGTTGTGAGGCACCATGTGAGTACCGGGAACTGAACCTGTGTCCTCTGCAAGAGCACCCAGTTTTTGTAAGCAATGAGCCCTCTCTCCAGCCCTATGAAACAATTTCATTAAAACTCAGTTCTGAATCGGACTGTAAAGTGCTGGGTTAACTACAATTCAACAGGGAATACAGTGGTTAGAAAAGCATATCACAGGCACCACTTACATAATCAGCAAAACTGAGGCTGTGGTGCGATGCATGCTGAACATCACAGTGCACACAACAAAGAACTACAAAAAAAGAGAAAGACTTCTTTAATGAAAAGAAGCAATCAGAGTATGGTAGTACATGTCTGCAACCTAGCACTTGGAAGGCTTAGGCAAGAGGATCACAGTTTGAGGTCACCCTGGGTTATAGCAACTCTCTCTCAAAACAACCCATAAGAAGGGATGTAATACAGCATCCAGTATGCACAGAGCCCTGGGGTCAATCCCCATGGGGCACCAGGAAAAAATTCATCTGTCACAGCATATATCAACCCTTCATTTGTTTTTACTGCCACAAACGGATTTCACATTTTCAAAAAGCAAAAAAGAACAGGGCAGTGGTTGTACACACCTTAATCCCAGCACTGGGGAAGCAGAGGCAGGCAGATGTGTTAGTTTGAGGCCAGCCTACAAAGGGGGTTTCAAGAGAGCCAGAGCTATTACACAGAGAAACCCTGTCTTGAAAAAAAAAAAAAAAACTAAACAAACAACAAAAAAGTGACAATAACCAAAAACATGTATATTGCTCTCTACCAAAAATGTTTGTTGACCCATGATATAGTCAAGAGAAGATTGACTATCGGTTAAGAACTACAGTTGAAGTTTATAATTAGAATTAGTTTTCATTGTCAATTTGCCTAGATTAGGACTCATCTAAGAGAGGCATCTGAGTGCATCCTTGAGGGAGTTTCTAAAATTCAATTGAACATGGGTAGCACTATTTCACGGGCTGGAGTCCCAAACGAAAACCAGAGAAGAGGAGAAGTCAATTGAGCACCAGCATCCACTTCTGTCTGCTTCCTGACTACACACTGTGACTGGCTGCCTCATGGTGTGCTGCCATGCCTTCAGTGCCATGATAGACTGTATCTCTTCAAACTCTGAGCCAAAATAAACTCTTCTTTTTGTTCTGTAATTTGTCACAGAAACAAGAAAAGCAACTAATACAAAACTGAATGATGAGTAGAGGGGATGCTAGGGTTTCTACTGCTGTGATGAAGCATCATGACCAAAAGCAACTCAGGGAAGTTTATCTTGTAAGTCTGTCATTGAGGGAAGCCAGGGCCAGAACTGGAGGGTGGATACCGTTCACTGGTTTAATAAGCCTGTCTTCTTACAGCACCCAGGACCACCAACCCAGGGTAGTACCACCCACAGTGGGCTGGGCCCTCCTGTATCAATCATCAGTCAAGAACATGCACCACAGGCCAATGCAGTGGGGTATTTTATTCTGAGGTTCCTTCTTCCCAAAGGATAAAATCCCCAGTCCATGGGGATTCATATGTTATGACTGGTTCATTTATGTTTGAGAATGTTCTTTAATTAAAAATAAAGGTTGGGAGGGTGGCTTATACTTGGCCAACTTGTATAAGATCCTGGGTTTTACCCCTAGTACTACCAAAAAATAAGTTAACATTTTTCTGATCTTGAGATGATGGAAATGTGTATGTTCCTTGCATAAACAAATTCAGAATACAAAACAAAACAGCACCTAGAGTAAAAAGATAGTAAGTCTAAAAATCATCTTTAATTTTCATTCTTTTTCAAGGTGGGGTACTGAACCTAGGACACTGCACATGCTATAAGCACTTTGCCACTGAGCTAAATGCTCAGTCCCCTAAAGATATCTTTAAACCATTTCAAAATTTTAAATTCGTGTCAAATTCAGTAAAATCATCACATTAATAAGTTCGTAGAATTATAGGCATGACTTAAAATGTGACCTGCTTGGGGAAAGGGGAGATGAGAAAGTAATTGTCCAATCAGTTTTGGTCTTGCTTTACTTTCTAAAGCAAGGTCTCTCCACTTAGCTCAAGCTGGCCTCAAACTTTCAAACCTCCTGCTTCAAGCTCTCCCATACTGGGACTATAAGCATGAGCCACCATGTCAAGCTCTTCAGTAGGTTTTCTAGTTAGTTGTTTCTGAAAGGACTGTCATTATGCAAGAGATGACAAGGGCTTTCTCTCTCTCTCTCTCTCTCTCTTTCTTTAATGGAGTCTTCTCAAAAGCTCAAACAGATTTCACAGTGACCCATCTGCCACAGCCTCCCAAGTGCCCAGCTTGGCAAGGACTTTTGGGGTCAGTTTATCAGATTCACTTTCAGACTCTAAAAACAGTTGCCAGTTACCACTCATTATCTCCTTACCTCCTCTTTCTGCATTCACAGCTGACTCCACTGAATCTACACACACTTCCATAAGAAAGCCATTTGCTGCTCCTAAAATACATGAACAACAAGAATTCTTGAAGGTACTAGCAATTCATACCAGTCTTCCTTAAATACTTCATATTTTTGCTGACCGAAACCAAATGTGCAATAGAGGAATTAAAAGATGCACTAAGGATGCATGGATGGCCATGTTGTAAGATACCCCTCATTAAAACTGTCATCTCTAGGCTGTGAAATAGATATACAGACATGCACAAAAGAAACCAAACCGAAACCATCTTTAGTACACAGTAAATACAAAATTAATCTTCCTAACACAGAGGTCTCATCAGTGTCCCAGCTCAGACTTTCAGGTGTCTCTCAATGATAGCAGTGAGGAACTGCTATTATAAGGATTACATACTACATATAAGGAATACATATTTGAAAACAAGGAGTGGACTTCAAATCCTTGTACCACCAGTTTATTCACTGTAACTCTAAAGAAGTTACTTAACTTTTCAATAAAACAGAGTAGGTTTCAATTCCTACCCTCAGGGTAACTAACCTTGAGATAACTTACATACAAGGTATCAGACCCACTAAGCATTCATTATTAATAAATTCCATATGATTTCCTCTTTATGACTCCAGTTTTCTTCAGTATCCATCTCTGCTAATGATTATACTCTCTCAATTGACAAAATCCTTTTAATTTCATCTTCAAATGATAAACTTTTCCAAAGGCTTGTGCCAAGTCATATTTCCATGTTTTTTTTTTTTTCCTCCTAAAGTAGAAATGTTTATCTCCTTTGGAACTCCAATAACTTGAGTTATATTTTTCTCATGAAAACCTAGTTTCGTCTCTTATTTATGAGATAAATAGCTGATTGTTATTGGTTGACATAAAGTTCCTTAACAAGGTCATTATGTAAGAATTCTCTATCTTCACCTCTTGGTAAACACAGGCCCTATCATGCTAACAAGTTATTCAAATATATATTAAAACCGATTTACAAATTCATATGTTGACACTAAAAAGTATGGTGTTGGCAGCTTTGGGTTATTCTTGCAAGTTAACATATAACTTATTTTTAATTAAAAGGTTTGAATGTTAGAGCCCAGGAAATGACTCAGTGGGTAAAACCATTTACTGTAAACGTCTGACCTGAGCTCATCCCCTGAATGTATTTAAAGTTGGAAGGAGAGAACTCCACAGTCATCCCCTGACCTCCACACAATCACTACGGCACGTGTGCCCACACTTACACAATAACGATCAATAAAATGTTAAAGTGTTTAATTCATACTTATGTACTGATCTCTGTACGAAGTCACCATATTCTAGTAGCAATTACTACTGGGCAGTGACTTAGGAATTATTCTTACTTTTGTATATTGATTTTTTTTTTACCTGAACAAAAATCTGTCACCTCCTAATATCAAGTTGCAATAATCATCAGTCAGTCCCATATACTGGGACTCCAATGCTAACCTATGGTCTTAAACAATGCCCTAAGTCTGGCAAATCTGTTAACAGCAGTGACAGCAGTGGGGCTCAGTGCTTACGGATTATCAGGAGCTTCACACAAGAGGTTGGGAATGGCTACAACAGGAGCCTGAGCAATGAAAATTGTTGTTTTGTTAGGGATCAAAAAAGACGTTTGAAGCAGGAGTACCCAAGGTAAGATCCTCCAGATAGCTTCGGGGGTTCTGAGTCTGTGGCTGTTTTGCCTTTTTTTCTCTTAGCCTCTCAGAAGGGAACTGTAGTTTCGGGACACCACTAGACAAGCCAGATGGAACGCAGATGGAGGTATGAGAATCTCTCTCCCATTAAGCCAGATATAAAAGAGATTTGCAAAATACAGCGCATTGCCACTTTCACTATTTTGTCTAGGGTTAGTTATCCTCCATAAAAGTTAGCTGTATTAAAATGCAATAGGCACATTACGGCTATTTTCTAATTTACCAGTCCACACTTTTTAGGAAAACAAGTTAGGTCGTGGGAACGACAGACGTGAGAACCGCCGGTCTGGAGAACCGAGAGCTCACTAAGTAGGAAGAGAAGAAATGTGTCGCATTCCTGTCTGCCACGCTGGCCCGTCCCGGACAACTCCCGCAGGCAGCAACCTGCGACCCAGGGGCTGTGGGGACGGATCCCCCTGGGCCCCTCTGCCAGCCGCCACACGGTCATTCTCTACCGCAGCGACGGGGAGGCGGGTGGGTCCGGCCCTCTGGCGGCCGCAGGGGCCGAGGGAACTCGGGAGAGCGACTGGCGGGGAGCCACGAGGGGCTGAGGGAACTCCGGGAGCCGGGAGCAAGCCTGACAGGCCGGGACACACCCCCGGCCGACCCGCCGACCACCGCCCGGCCCGCCACCTTCCGCACCCGCCTTCCCCGACGTCATCCACGCCGGTTTCCGCTCGCAGGAAGTGCCCTTCTTCATGCTTCCCGCGATCCCCCCTCGCTCGCCTTCGGTTTCCACGGAGTCTCCGCGGCTGCGCGAACGACCGAGCAGGCGCGCCCCCGACGCCCGCGCCCGGCAGCCCCTAAGGAGTCGTAGGCGCAAGCGCAGTGGCCAGTCTCGCGCGAGGGGCGGGGGGGGGGGGGGGGGGGAAAGACGCTCGCCATGCCTGACCCGGAAATGTTTCTGCGGTCCGTAGAGGCGAAGGGGACCGCAGAGCGCCGGTGCGTTCCGGTGCTGGCGGTGCACTGTCAGTATGCAGCGGTTGCTTCTTCCGCCCCTGAAGGCCTGGATGGGGAGCCGCTGTGTCGGGCTCCTGGTCCCTAGGGCGGCGTCCAGAGCACAGGTACCCACCGCAGCTGGCTCCGATCACGGAAGCCGGATTGGGATAAAGTAAACGAACCGCCCCGCTAGTGCTTCTCTCCTTAAGGTTTCCTTGTGTCCTGACACCTCCGTGAATACGGATCCGGAAATACTGCCCACAGTTGTGTATCACAGGCCGATTTATTTCTCTTGTATGTTTCAATTTCCCTGTCTGTAGAATGAGATAACTAGCTATTACACAACGTGTGAGAATTAAATTTTTAAATATACATCAAACCTTTAGCATATCATAAAAGCTCAGTATTTTTTGCGCATTTGGATTTTGCTAAAAGCCGCCGGGTAGTTAGGAACTTGAGACTTACTTTAAATTGCTTGTCTAAGATACCCAGTTAATTAGAAGTAGGAAACTGAACATATATATTCTTACTCTTAGTGTTAGAATCAAAAGAGGAGATGTATTCTCTTATATGATAATTATTAGTAAAAAGTGAAAGATGTTTGTTATGTGAAGAGAAACCAGAGAAAGTCTATTAATTACCACTATGTTATGATCCAGGAAGAAAAACAAAAACGCCCACAATGGCTCCTGCCCTGGAGAAGTCAGTACATTTAATTGCTAGTATCTATTAGGTCTTGCTATGTATGGGACCAATGCTACAAACAAAGGTAGCAAGACGGAAAGAGCAAGATTGACCAGAACCTGCCATGCAAAGCTCCCAGATGAGTGAGACACAGGGACAGATCACCTGAAGATACGTGACAGTGGGTTAGGGGTTGTAGTAGGAGGGGTTCCCGTTGCTGTGAGCGTGACCTGTTGTAAGACTCTGAAAAGTTCAGGTGCAGCAATGCAAGCCCACATCTCCAGTGGGTAGTATAAGTCAGGCAAGGAAGGACATGTATGGGAGGAGATGGAACACTGAGAGACCGAGAGGAGAGAGAAACCCAGTAGAAAAAGGGTTCGAGTATTCCAGATGAGAGACAGTGATGGAGCAGGGCAGTAGCTGTGAAGGTGCAGCCTTGGGGGTACTTTACTGCAGTCAGATTGAGGCTGAGAGTGGGTAGCCGTCTCTCCCACATTCTTCAGGGATAATTTTCTGTCTTACTCCTTAGTGTGGTTGCAGCTATGGCGGCAGGCATCCTCTGCGGCCGGGGCAATACAGCACAATCACTGAGGTGGCTTTGCAACCTGGAAAAGGTACAGTGGCCCTTCCTTCGAAGGTAGCTGAGCGGGCAGTGGGCCGATGGCTCCTGGTGTGCAGTGGAGCAGTGGCGGGAGCGGTTATTCTTGGAGGAGTAACTAGGTGAGTAATTTGCTCTCGTTGAGTCAGGTTATCAGTAGGAAAAGGAGGCCTTGGGCATCGTCCGGTTTAGATCTGTCACTTTACAGATGCAGTAACTGACAGCCTGCTCTGTCTTAGAGCAGGTTGCTGTTTTCTTAGTAGGGGCCTGTCATAGGACAGGGTTCGGTCTTAACTAGTTAGCAGCTGGCCATTGTTGCTGTATATTTTTACCTCTCCAGTGTTCAGATTTATCTTAACCCCCCACTGTTGTTTACTTGAACACATAAGGTCATCCATACATCACGATTGTTCCAGATACCTCCCAGGTTATATTTATGTCTATACACAGACTTTATGGACTTAGGCTTTCTCTCCCCCCACATCATTGAAGTTTTGTTGTTATTGAGGGAGGCCAAGTCATTTGTCTGGTGATGTTTAACATATCCTTTGTCCCCATCTGTCCTGTCTTAGGACAGGTTAGTGTTTTATTATATAGAACCTGTACTTCTGTAATAAGTCTCTTTTCCTGGTGTAAAGAATGTTAGTTTTAGCTGGTATTATATATCACTCAATGGTTGAATGAATACTTAGTGTGTGCAAGGTCCTGGGTTCAGTCCCTAAACTGAAATAAGAATAACAGCACCAAAATAAGAATGTTGTTCATGTATTTATTACACATTTCTTTAATCTAAGCATTGTTTTTGTCTATAAAGAAATGTTGGTTAAAGATTTAAGTGGGACCCAGCAATGGTGGCAGATGCCTGAAGCCTTGGTTCTTGGGAAGTTTAAGAGGCAAGCCTAGGCCACCTCAGAGACCCTGTTTCTGGGAAGGAAAAAAAAAAATCAACAAACAGTAAATGAGGGGGTTTAAAAAAAATTGAGAGAATAAAATAAAAGTATAAATAAGAGCTGGGCATATAGGACCTGGTTTGTACAAGAACTTGGATTTCATATCCAGCATTGCAAACAAAAAAGGAAGAAGAAAGGAATTCATACTCACGGGTTAAGTTCAGATCTACTTGTTGCTGTAAACTATTTATGAATAATCTAGAAACATACACTCACAAATTTATTGCCTGTCCCAAGGCTGACAGAGTCTGGCCTCTCCATGGTCCACTGGCATTTAATAAAGGAAATGAAGCCACCCACAAGCCAAGAGGAATGGGAAGCGGAATTCCAAAAATACCAACAATTCCCAGAATTTAAAATGTAAGTGTTAGAAAAAAATCAGGTAAATATCTTTGCGTGTGATGAAGGCATACTTGGAGACATGGTTTCTCGCTGAACCCAGAGCCAAGCTCATGGCTGGCAAGTCTCAGTGATCTCATCCCTCCTCCACAGCACTAGAATTTCAGGTACACATGGCCATACCCAGCTTTTTAAATGGGTATGGGGGATTTGAACTCAAGTCTTCATACTTGTGCAGTAAGCACTCTCACACACTAGCCATCTCCAAAATCTCTCAAGTAAATACCTTGTGTCAGTAAAGGTTACTGTTGCTGTAATGAAACACCATGACCAAAGGTGACTTGGGGAGGAAAGGATTTATCTTACTCACGGTTCCATATAACAGTTCATTATCAAAAACAGGGAGGGCACGAACTCAAGCAGGGCGGGAACCTGGCAGCAGGACCTCAGCAGAGGTCACGGAGGGCAGTACTGCTCGAAAGGCGGTAGGATCTGGGAGAATGGAGCCTACAGACAAGGCAGACTGAAGTCTCATGCGATGGCCAACTTTATTCAGAGCATCAAGCAGTTTATGCTCAGGGTTAAGAAGAATCACATGAGTAAGGTGCGCAAGCACAAGAGCAAGCCACACAAGGCAAAAGCATGGTTTCCATAGAGGCGTATTAATAACAGCTGAGGTAAACTCACTCCTGGGAGGAGCATGAAAACACATTCCAAGAACAATTTTTTGTTTTGAAGAAACTGAGGTCACAAGACTTTTGTCTTGTTTTCTTGGAGTTTTCTCAGAAGTACTCAGATTTCTCATAGGACTCCATTCTTGGACTGTGTTCCAAAAGAGGAGTACTGATTCCTGCCTTGCTCCCATGGCTTGTTTAGCCAGATCTCTTACAGAACCCATGACCCTCATCCCAGGGATGACCCTACCCACCATGGGCTGGGCTAGGGCCATCAATCACTAATTTAAATCAGTGTTCTACAGGCCAGCCTATAACCCAGTCCTGTGGAAGCATTTTATCAGTTGGGGCTCCTTCCTCTCAGATGACTCTAGACTGTATCAAGTTGGCATAAAATTAGCCAGCACATATCCTAGTCATCTTTTTTGCTTCTCTAAATCCTTTATGGTTGGACTTACTTATTGATCTTTTCACTTAAGTGTAGTGAGCTGCCTACTCGAAGCTTTGAGTTCAGGGCCACCTTAAAGTTACTGATGAGGAAGAGAGCAGATCTACCAAACTGCAAGATGGAAAATGTTTCTACATTCCACAGGGTAACAAAAACCAAATAAAGAAGTTGAGAATGCTTAGCAGTAAAAGTGCTTACCCCACAGCCCTGATTACCTAAACTCAACCCCAGAACCTATGTAACAAGCAGAATGCAGTGGTGTACATCTATAATTCCAGGACTGTTGTGAGGGGGGAGGTGGAGACAGGAGAATCGGCCAGAAATTGAAGTGCCAGCCTAGCCTGGAGTGCAGAATGCAGTGGTGGGTATAAAAGAGACCCCGCCTCAAACACAAGGAGGAAGGAGAGAACAAAAAACTGGTTCCCAAAAGTTTTGTCTGACTCCCACACACACATGCTGTGGCATATTCATGTCCATGCACACAAAATAAGTAAATAAATAAACCTCGTTCTTCATTTTTTGACTCCCATTTCACCTAGCCTGAATCATGACATGACGCTGGCGGAATTCAAGTTTATCTGGTACATGGAGTACTCGCACCGAATGTGGGGTCGAGCTGTCGGCCTTGCATACATCCTGCCGGCCGCCTACTTTTGGAGAAAGGGTTGGCTCAACCGTGGCATGAAAGGACGTGTTCTTGCTCTCTGTGGCTTAGTCTGTTTCCAGGTAAGACTTATTCAAGTCCGAGAAACCAGAGTTTTCCTAGTTGGCATTATTTAAGGAGAGTATCTTTGAAGGGCTACAATAGAGTAGGTAAGACTGAGCATTTTAGTGCCATAGGCGTGGCTTTAAGCTCCTTACGGCACACTGACTCCTGTCATGTATGATTTTCCTAGTGTGGGTGGAGATAGTAATATTGCCCTTAAGTAATGTTAAATGAGATGACGCCTGTAAGGCACTTAGTTGGATGTGTAAAATGAGTAAGTACTCAGTAAGTACATACCTTGTGCCGATAGAAATAGAATTTCATGTCCCTGTTATGGTTCTCTTCCTGTATTCTCTGCCATTTTCTGTCTAAGACAGAGTGATCCTCATTGGAGTGGCTACAGAGACAAATAGGAAAACTCCAGAAAAACAGTTTGCAGGATGAAGGTTGGATACAGATGTAACTGATGTTCAGGTATACATGATATTTAAAATTATGTAACCTGGACTTTTCTTAAGGAAAAGAGCTTTGCAAGATTCTCACAGTTAGAGCTGGAGAGGTGGCTCTGTGGTTAAGAGCACTGGCTGCTCCTCCAGAGGATCTGGGATCAAATCCCAGCACCCACATGGCAGTTCACCCCTGTCTGTAGTTCCAGTTCCAGGTGATCTGACACCCTCAGACAGACATACAGGAAGGCAAGACACAAATGTAAATATACAAATTATTTTTTAAAAAAGATATTAGTGAGGCAATAGAAACTACAGTAAAGAATTAGACACTAAGAAAAGTTATGTTAACTTTTATATTTTAGTAACTAAGCAAAGGTGGATGGAATAAAGTGTAAGTTTAAGTTCATAATTTATTTAACAGTAAAGTGAAGGTAGAAATTTAAGCTGTCAAATAGGGTTGTGGGAGGAAGAAGTTGGGCTGGAGAATCCTCACAGTATGAGCCTTCAATCTCAGTGTTCCTGTGTTCCTGCAGATGAAAGGTAATTATGATAGCCAGGCTAATCTTGAAAAGGGAAGGAGATCACTGAAGGGTCACCTGAAGAAGTAGAAGAAACTCACCCCTTTGGCCTGGGTCTTTGGGATCATGAGCAGTTTGTGTAATGATTGTGTCTTATCTGGTAAGATTGTGATCAGTGTAGTTTGGTTTTTTTACTAGTTAAAGTGAAGAGCCATGGAGTATGATACATTCTGTGAGTTTTCTAAACAGAAACGTGTTTTGCTGGGGAGGGGTTTTTGTTGTTATTGTTTGGTTGGTTGGTTTGGTTTGGGTTTATGAGACAGTCTCAAGAAGCCAAGTTCTGACCTCCAACTTGTTAATTAGCCAAGTCTGACTAAAGTTGCCGATCATGCTGCCTCTGCTTCCGACAGGCTGGGATAACAAGTCTGGGATTAAGCCACCACATCTGGCTTAAACATGCACTTTTCTTTACAGAGTTTTCTTTCTTTCTTCCTTCCTTCCTTCCTTCCTTCCTTCCTTCCTTCCTTCCTTCCTTCCTTCTTTCCTTTCCTTCCTTTCCTTCCTTCTTTCCTTTTTCCTTCCTAAGAGTTGAAGTCTTTGACTGTTTAAGTTTGAAGTTCAACTTTAAATTTCTTCATCTTCACAATTTATAGTTTCCAGTTTAATTTTTATTGGGGAGTAGAAATATATTTTTGCAAAGCAATCTACATGAAAAATCTTACACATGACCTCTTTCCCAACTTTTGTGTTTATCTTATACCCACCTATCTCGACAGTAATTCTTTTTAAACAGCCTTTATTAGCTTTTTCCAACTACAATCTAGTTTTCACAGAATAAACTATTTCACTGTTTCATTGGTTAACATGTTAAGTTATATTGAATATTTGTAAGTTTGGGTGCAGATAAACTAGGATTTTATATACTTAAACTATACTTCAGCAAAACATAAGTCTAAACATAGTCTAAACAGCACTAATGTTGTTAATATATAACTACCAACAGGTCACAATTCCTGAACACTGGCTGTATAGGAGGGTGTGGAAAACGTGTCGGATAGGGCATTTTTTCTGATAATGTACTTTCTTTAGAACTTACCAGGTCAAACCTTGTTTGATTTGCCTCTTTCTGCTTGAATTCTAGGGTCTTCTAGGTTGGTATATGGTGAAAAGTGGGTTAGAAGAAAAACCAGAGTCCTATGATATCCCTCGGGTCAGCCAGTACCGCCTGGCAGCTCACCTTGGCTCAGCACTTGTTCTTTACTGTGCCAGTCTGTGGACCTCTCTCTCACTGCTACTCCCTCAGCACAAGGTAAACGTCAGTTGTTACCACAGCTGCACAGTGTCGTGTGGCAGGGAAGTGGAAAGTCTGTTTCTAATGAAAGTTACTAAGTCAAAATTCAGATTCTCTTTAGCACACATTGTTTTCACTTTGGCCCTTGTGTAGAATGCATCTGTGAATGTGGGTGTGCACGGTGATTTGAGACCCTGATTTCAGTTCTTTGGAGAATATATATCCAGAAGTGAAGTTTCTTGAAAACATAGAGGCTGAATATCTTGTCATCATTATCTAATGAGGAGTATGAAAACACAAGTTTTAGGAAAAGAGCAAGGAGAACTGACAATTAGATACAGCTCTTTAGTCCTGCCACCCAGAATGGCAACACAAGGAAGACCAGGACAACAGATGTGTCTGAACTTTTGCTGGTGAACAGCAGCCCAGTTGCGTCATATTAAATGGGAGCATAGCATTCAGTCTAACACTGTATTAAACCATAGTGATCTGTGTCTGAAAAGTGCTTTTCTGTATGCTGGTTTTCCTTCAGGAGAATGGCAATTTTTATGTTTTATGCTTTGACTCAAAAGCAAGACACAACTCTCCTTTTTTTTTTTTCTTCTTGAGGCCTTTGTTTAAAATAGAAGTCTCAGGCTACCACACTTATTTAGGACACTATTTTCTTTCTTTTCCTTTTTTTTTTCTTTCTTTCTTTTTTTAATTCTTTCACTTTTTTCTAGTATTTACAAATAGTGATTGTGGGTTGACCAGATGGCTCAGCAAGCCTGAAAACAGCAGTTCAGTCCTTTAACTCACATAAAGGTGGGTGAGGAGAACAGACGCCACAACATTGCATTTTGAAATCCTAACATATGCTATGGAAGCAGCATGTACACACACATACATACACACTAATAACTTAAAATGCTTACTTTAAAAGGGATAATTAAGTAAATATTAAACCATGAGTTGAGCTGGATAAGCTGTTCATGGAGAAAATTTTGACATGCTGTCAGATTTTTCATAGTCATGTAATAGGTATTTAGTGCTAAGGCCTTACGTTCCAGTAAGGACTGGAGGTATTCACAGGGAAGCCAGATATTGAAGCGTTTTCATTGTAAATACTCTTCATCTGAAAAATCCTTATATTGCCTGCACCTACACCTATTTCCTGACAATTGTTCTTTCTTTTCGACTCCTATGATCTCTCACTCCTTCCTAAGTGTTCACGTGTACCCACACTGATACACTTACCCAAACACTAGAATTGAACTGTGGCAGGTTACAGATAACATTTCTCAATTTTGCCCTTTTTATCTGTTTATGTTCTACCTAATTATGGAAAGAATTTGAGATGATGGCTAGTTAAGCAATACGGTGTCATGCTCTCCATCCCAGTAACTACTAGCTCCTGAAGGCTATTTAAATGTTAATTAATTGAAATATCTAGGAAGGTACATAATAAATGTCCAACATGAGAGTGTCGAAGCGGGTACCTGCTGAGAGTACTTACCCTGTTAGCAGACAGAGACAGTCTTGAATTGTCTGGGTTTGGATTGGAGATCTTGCTGCCTCCATGGTTCCTACCAAACAGCTGACCTGATTATCTTTTCAGTTACCTGAAACCCGACAGCTCCTGTGGCTGAGGCGCTTTGCTGGAGGGACAGCAGGTCTGGTATTCCTCACGGCTCTCTCAGGTAGGCTCGTCCCAGTACGCCCAGCGCATTTTCACCCTGTTCCTGCTACTCTGTTCTTCCTGCTGCCCCTTGATCGTTTCCTGTCACATTTGGCTCCTTCACACCTACCATTTACCCTCGGTTTTCTGCTCCTACTGTCCACTCAATTGAACAAAACTTTTGAATATTTACTTAAACCCATACTGTCCAAGTGCAAATTAATTTGTAGCTTCACCTGGAAACTACAAGCTGTGTATGAAACAGATGATGACCATAATTCATGTACATGAAGTGCTTAGAACGTGCATTCCTGGCATGTAGCAAAAGCTGTGTTAGTTGTGTTATGTAAGCATTATTACTCCAGAATGGGTCTGACAGATGGCCTCTCCTCAGTGATGGCCAAAGATGACAAGTTCATTGGCACTGAGACTAATGTAGGCCTTCCCTCCAAAAGCTTTAAAAATTTTTATGTATGTGTAGGTGTGTGTCTATGTGAGTATATACCACGTGTGTGCAGGTATACACAGAGGCCAGAAGAGGGCATTGGATCCCCTGTAGCTGGAGTTACATGTAGTTGAAAGCCACCCAATGTGGGTGCTTCGGGTGGGAAGCGAACTCGGGTTCTCTGGAGGAGCAGCAACCACTGAACCAGCCCTGGGTTTCTCTTTTTTAAATCATACGTTCACCTTTAGCCTTCTCACTTGGATGGATTCTCACTTCTCAGGTGGGAGTCAGAAGCCCCGTGTGGTTAAACTTTAATTAAGATTAACTAACATTTAGCTTTCATTCATTCAGTTATACTACCTGCATGCATGCTCAGCAGGTACATGAGGTTCGTGGCTTATGTAACACTCAAAACACTTCTGTTATCACAGAGACTGAGGAGGTGGGGGAGTAAATCCTGAAGACCCAAAATAGATCAGCGCTACACAGGGACAGGAAGGACACAGAAAAAAACAAAAACGAAACAAACAAAAAACAAAACAACAACAAAAAAAACGGACTTCTTCCAAACTCATAGGTGTCTCCTCCAGAGGGTTTGGTCTCTAGCAGAGACACGCTGGAGTCTTGGGGTCAGAGCAGATGTGGATTCAAGGTGCTGCCAACTCCTGTGGAGATTGTATATGCATTCTCCACGTGAGAAGCCTCAGTTGCCTGTTTGTCTATTATCCTCCAAATCGTTCCTTTATCCAGCTCTGTGGAGGGAGATGTTTCTATATTCAGAGTGAATGCTTACTCTTCACTTTAGTAAGTCCTCTGTATCTTGGCATGCAGGAGCTTTTGTGGCAGGGCTAGACGCTGGGCTTGTTTACAACTCCTTCCCCAAAATGGGAGAATCGTGGATCCCAGAGGACCTCCTTACCTTCTCTCCCATCCTGAAGAATGTTTTTGAGAATCCTACCATGGTGCAGTTTGATCACCGGCTTCTGGTAAGTGCGCTGATCTGTGCTGCCTGACATAGGGAGCCCCACAAGCATCAGGAGTGCAGGTGAGGCGCTGATGGCTGCAGTTAGCCACAAGCTTTTTGTAACTGCTTTTTCTCTTAGAAGCAGTTCTCCAACCAGCTGTCTGATCTGACATTTTTGTCATCATACACTCAAATTCTAGCTTCAAATCAGCTAGGCAGATGATACTAACCCACCTCAATCCTGAATGTGCCTACGTGCCATTTCATCAGAGATGCAGTTGACGCAGGAACAGACTACAGAGCACATAGCTGTGGAAGAGCCCTGAGGGTGCTTTGCTAATGCCTTTCTGTTTATTTAAGCCTATAGGTACTGATGGTGTGGAAGCCTTACTAAGACCGGCCTGGTAGGCTGAGTGTGGTCACCTGTACCCAGGAGACCCCAAGAAGCAGTAGTGTTGTTATAGAAGGAAGGGTAGGGTCACAGGGCCCAAGACATTAATGGGAGACTTGGTAACTGGTGGAGACGAGAGAAGCTTTATGACCAAGACTAACTGTTAGGATACATGTAAAGAGAGCTCAGAGGAGACCCCAGAGTTTGTCCTGCAGCATTCTTAAGCCATGGCCAGCAGAAATGGAACCTCTAGAGTGGGTGTTAGCCAAAGGCAAGCTGTCATCAGATGAGGCATGCCCGCTGGGACATGGTAGAGAGGGAGGTGTAGAGAAGACTCACATCTGTGGGCTACGGCTGACATTCCAGGGGAGCCTCAGTCCCCAACCTACACTGTATTTTAGCATAAGGAGAGTGTGATTGGATCTGCCCCTATAGCTCCTTCTGAAACACGCAGAAATATGGCGGAAAGCATTCTCTGTGGCATAGGAGAAAAGAAATTTTGTTTTTACCAGCTGGAAGCACTACCATCCCCTCAGCTTAACCCACAGAAGCTGTGGGTTTTATGTGCTAAGGCCAGCCCTGCTTTAAAAGTAGGGCTGGAGAGATTGCTCAATGGTGAAGAGCACTTGTTTTTGCAGAGGACCCAAGTTCAGGTCCCAGCACCCACTTGGAGGCTCACACTAACTGCAGTTCCAGAGGCTTCAGCAGCCTCTTCTGGCCTCCTCGGGCATCACATGCACATGCGCACAGACATGCATGTTGGCAAAACACCCACGCACATAACATAAAAATAAATCTTTGAAAAAATGTAAAATCAGATATAAAATTACAGCTAAGGATACAAAGTGTAATTTAAAAAGCAAGACTCTCACCCGTGGGAAGGTAAGTGTGTATAAAGCAGTAAAAGCAAACTCAGATGGTTGCCCTGAGAGACGGTGCTGCCTCAGTTGGAGCAGAAGAGGATGGTGGCAGTGCTGACGAGCAGCAGCTGGGGTGGAATGGTTTTGTGACTAGCGAAGCTCTTTCTGGCTCTCCTTGGTTCCCGGGATGTATGAGGTGAATGGGAGTCCTGCTGCCTGGAATAATATTAAACACCGATCATCTTTCTTTGCCGTAGGGAATCACATCTGTCACTGCCATTACAATGCTCTATTTCCTGTCCCGGAGAATCCCCCTTCCTCGAAGGACCAAGGTGGCAGCAGTGACTCTGCTAGCTTTGGCATATGCACAGGTACAAAGCCATTCTTGATGGCTTCCCCAAACAAAGTTAATGTTAACAGTAGATTAATGGTGTGATAAAGGTGTCACACAAGAGGAATGATAATGGCTAATAAACAAACAGCTTTTTAATATCAGAGCAACTTCAGAGGGTGGGACTAGAGAGGAGGGAGGGGTTTATGACAGATGTAAATTGAATTCATTAATTAAAAGAAAGAGAGAACAGCTTAAAATAATGAATACCATTCTGGTTTTTTGGGTTTTTGTTTGTTTGTTTTTGGAGACAGGGTTTCTCTGTGTACCCTTGGCTGTCCTCGAATTCACTCTGTAGATCAGCTGGCCTCGATTTCACAGAGATCCACCTGCTTCTGCCTCCTGAGTGCTGGCCTGTACCACTACTGTCCAGCTGAATACCATTTTGTACTTGTTACTTTTTAAAAATTACTCATTTATTTTTATGGGTATGGCTATTTTGCCTGCATTTGTACCATACCCATGCGTGGAGGCCAGGAGAGAGTATAGGATTCCCTGGGACTGCAGTTGCAGACTGTTCTGAGCTGTCATGTGGATGCTGGTGATAGAACCAAGGTCCTCTGGAAGACTCTTAACCACTGAGCCATCTCCGTCCCTCGCTTGTCTCACTGAAGTTTGGATGTGGAGGAAGCAGGCAAAGGGATATTAGCCTGGGTGTAGGAAAATGGACACATTTGGATATTCTTGATAAGACCATGAGTCTATAATAGCTTTCTTCAGAGGGCAATTAGACAATAGATTATATATCAAATATATATTAAATATCTTATATTAAATATATATTAATATATTGTATATTAAATTTACTATATTAAATATTACTGTTTAATAGATTAAATATATGTAATGCTTCGGTCCAGAAAACTGACAGTTGTATCTGCCTTAGAAAAACTAATGCACTAAACAGCTTTTGTGATGGTAAAAATTGGAAACAAGCTAAAACAACCATGGTATGTCTCTGCTGTGGAATACTGCATAACAGTTTAAGAAAAAGCACGTGACAGTATACTTGCAACAGCACAAAACTATATGTATTTCTATAAATTCCAGCACTTGGGAGGCAGAGGCAAGTGAGTTCAATACTGGCCTGGTCTACATAGTGAGTTCTAGGCCAGCCAGGGCTACACAGTGAAACCCTGCCTCAAAACAAACAACAAAAAAACAACAACAAAAAACCCCAAAGTGCTCTGTCTCAACAAGAGCATATCATACATACAAGAAAGTAAGACATATAGGAACTGGCAAACATAACTACCCATGGGGAATAGGCACCCGGTAGAAGCAGGGTATGGTAGCTCGTGCCTATAATCCCAGCACTCCGGAGACTGAGGGAAGAGGATTGCTTGCACCATGATACGATTGCATGATGAATTTCATTATTTTACGTATGCTTGCTTGTGCCACCCAATACTCGCACCTGTGATGTTCTGATGCGACAGCGGGGAGGTTTGCATGTCCGCTGCTCACATGCAGTCACTTTCAGCATCACTACTTTCTTCTTCTTCCACAACAGGTGGCCTTGGGCATCAGCACCTTGCTTCTGTATGTGCCAACTCCTCTGGCCGCCACACACCAGTCAGGCTCCTTGGCTCTGCTCAGCAGTGCCCTTTGGCTCATGAATGAACTCCGAAGGGTCCCCAAATAATTCTCAGAGGATCATTCCCACGGACTGAAACTGCCTTGGGAATTCATCAGCAAGTTCAAGAACTTTTCTAGGAGGGTCACCTTGACATGCCTCATGGTTTACAAAGTGGTCAAGTCTCAAAACTGTTTTGAGATGGGCCCTGAATCAAGAATGTCACCAAGGTGTGATTATACCAGCGGTTCTCCCTAAGTCTTTTGCATTGCTGCTTCTTAATAGGCAGCCTGACTTTTCTTAGCGCCAGGAAGATCTTGCATTTCTGTGTCCTTGTGCTGCCAAGTGCTGTCCACTAGCCAGGCTGGTAGTGACAGTGTCAGACTCGAGAACAACCAATCGACCAGTAATGGAATGTTGTTTGTTAGTAAGGTTCAAGGTTGTCATAACTTCTGGTTTTTAAAAGCAGCTAACTAGCTAGATTTTGAAGTGACTATTCTCCTTTATGTGTGTGTGCAAGTGCTCGAGGAGGCCTGGGAGGATGCTGTCCCTAGAGCTGGATATACAGGCGAACAAGTTGTATGATGGGGGTGTGGTGACCAAACCCAGGTCCTCTAGAAGAGCATCGAGCACCTTTAACAGCGGAGCCATTTCTCCAGCCCAGAGTGAATACTATTACATGTTGACAATTTCAAGTTTAAAAAATAGGGAGGCTTAACACATCTGATCTGAAGTTGTCCATTTTTAATTTCTGAATGAGATGGGTTTTTTTTTTTTTCCAACTCTAAATTATTCTGTGAGTCTCTGTATATTGTTATTAGCAAAACAAAGACACGTTTTACTCTCCAAGTCCCAGGCCCTGCTGGGCTTGTGTTATTACACAAAAGAGATTTCCCTCAATCTCAGAACTCAAGACTCATCCTAGACCCACTAAATTCAAGCCCTTGGAACAGGGGTGGGCTGGTTTTTAAGTTTCCTGGGGACTTGAGTGCATGTAAGTTTGGTGACACGTGGCCTAGGTCCTTCTGAAATTCTGCCAGCTTGTTCCCACTCCTCCCAAATTTCTACCCCATCATCCCGGCTGCATTTAACCTGTTGGTCCCATCTGTGCATCAGCATGGTAGGCACTCTAGACAATCCTGTCAAGAAGGGAACCAGGGCAGCTTGCACACCAGCTACTTCTCACTCCACATCCAGAGTCTTCAGTTAGAAGCAGACAGCAGAGGGCAGGAGGGTCCAGCCGAAGATCACTTGTAACCATTTTTCAGTCACTTCAAGCAAGTGGCAACCCAAGTCAGCTCAAGTCTTAGACATTTTATTGCACTTTTCTTCTACTACAGTTAAGTAAAGTATGTATGGATTCAGTGTTTAGCTATTCAGCTACAGCATGCCTTCTATGTGGTCCTGGTGAACAGAGATCATCTTAACTATTTTTGTATCTGTTTAAGTCACTAGATACATACCAAATACTGAATGAGGAAAGAATGAATTGGTAGAAAATATACAATTATTGATTTATGTCCCAAATGTCTACTTCAGAAAAAGCCATTGCACACTTAAAAGATTAAATAAATGTCTTTTAATGTTTTCAACAGTCTGTCAACAGTTGTCAATTGCTTTTAAATATAAAGGTAATTAAAACATGTATTTTCAATCAGCTAACCCAGGATTTAATTTTTTTTCTTTTGCCAGCCTCAGGTGATTGATTAGGCCATAACTCTTATGACATCATTTAACCTTTTTAAAACTTACTGTGTGTGCATGTATATGACAGGGTATGCACTGTACATGCGTGTGCTTGCAGAGACCAGGCAACAAGTCCTGTGAGTCGGCTCTCTCCCTGCATCTCTGTGTGGGTTCTGGGGTGAAACTCTGATTGTCAGATGTGTGGCAAGTGCTTCAACCTGCAGAGCTGTGGTGCTGGCCCACATGTTTGTCTTTAACCTACACTGAGATATACCTCTGCTGTGGCAGGGCTACTACTTCCCACCAAAGACCAACTGGGATAAGCACGATTTTAGAATACCAGTTTACCTGCGGCCCTCTTTCTGGTCCTGGGTTATATATAGGCGTATGTAACGCAGAGCTATGCCTCCACATCTGGGTAACTGCATCGTCACCCCAGCACATTGCTCATTTACTAGAACTTCATGTTTATCAGAATTTTAATGATTCCATGAAATTTAAGAATTCCATAAAATTCTCTTTTCTGCCACCTGGCTGACAACATTCTTACTTAATGTGAAGCCGCCAAAGTGCAGCCTTGTAGCTACCCGAAGCAGGGCCGTCCGAAGAAGCAGGGCAGCACAGCAGCTTGTGTCTCAGCCACCTGCAGCGGGGTGGTCAGCAGCCTTTGTCCTTAACGTGTGAACACTTGGCTGTGGATCACAGTGGACAGATGCTGAAGGCATGCACGGCAGAGACCACACTGGTAGCAGAAATCACAGAGGACTCAGAGACCACACTGGGGGCAGAAATCACAGAGGATGCAGAGACCACACTGGGGGCAGAAATCACAGAGGACACAGAGACCACACTGGTGGCAGAAATCATGGAGGAGACGTGGCATACTTTAGAGCTTCAACTACATGGAAAGTGTGGAAGGAGAACTTGAACCAGGTGTACCAGCAGTCACGGTACTCGGGATCCTGCTGGCAGAGACGGACTTGAGAAGCTAGTAAGTTTCATGACCAGTGGAGCCAAACTCAGGGAATGGCTCCGTGGGTGGGCTGCTTCTGGACAGAACTTCTATTCTGTCCAGGACTGCCCTCAAGTTGTTCTGTAGTTTAGATGTGGAATGTTCTCCAAGAGCTCGTGTGCTAAAGGCTTGGTCCCCATGCTGACATTGGGATGGCGGGACCCTTGCATAGCTTCATAGGTCTTTAGGTCACCGGAGGATATGTGAGACTCCCAAATCCATCCTCTTGTATCCGGGTCATGAGCTGAGCTATACTTGCCTGCTGCAATGCACACGTCATCACAGGCTCAAAGCAAAAGGGACACCTGACGATTGAGTTGAGCCTGTAAAGCTGTGACTCAAACAACCCTTTCTCTATATAAAAGATCTCAGGTGCTTCCGTACAGTGAATGGACAGGGACACAATAGAGTGCGCAGCCTAGCGGGCACTTGGGGTGGCTCATCCATCAGCTGTCTTGCTTTAGGGAGCACCTTGGGAGTAGACACATCTTCAAGTTTGTTCCAAAGTCACACACGCGTGACTAAACATCACAACATTTTCAATTCTGGTTCTTACAAGAAAAAATAGAAGCAACGATTTGCTCACATTTGAAAAAACATGGAAGCCCTTGTAGTGTGAGCAATAATTCCATTTTTCAATATAAAAGGGGGCTCAGATTTTCAAAAAGCAAAATGGTCTGCTGGCTCCTGTCCCTCTATAATAGTATCAACAAACAAAAATAATGAAACACTAGGGCAACGGGAATATGTGAAACATTCATTTCAGTGACAGCCTACTGGGATAAAAAACAAGACAAAGCCGGCTTAAAATAGAGCCCTAACAAGCTGCCCACAGAAACAAACCCCAGGGTCGACAGGAACCCAAGCCGGGTGCAATAACTTTTCCAGTTAGATCAGAGGCAAGTTAAGGAAGTAATGGAGGCCAAAGACAGAGCCATGCTCAATACAGAACATCACCTAAATGAATTTGATATCAGATGCAATCATTGTTCCCAAAAATATTTGTTATTCTGTATTGTTAGTCCAAGGTACCAAAACTTGGTTTTGATTCCTCATTTTAGAACATACTAATTTTTATGATACCAACAAAATCTTCATGAGCTTGGCAGCAAGACTGAGGCTAAGCATCAACTAAGAGACCAAATTAAAAGACTACTGCTACTCGAAGCCACTGCTCCTCCTACTTAATTCCTGGCACAACTAAAATGAAGTCGCATACACATCCCAGTCTAGAAACTTCCCAAGAATCACCACCAACTTGTATAATGAGGTAGATATCTCTATTGGGCATCTGAACCTTCATTCAGATTTTTATTATTGGAATGTTATGGTTAAGAAAAAATCATGCAAAGGTAAGCCAATTGCTTAACTGTGAAAGAAAAAAAAAGATACTAAAAAGGATGCACTGAAGACTTGGTTAATGAAATTCCATCTGAAGCCTACCCAATGGGAGTGAGGAAGTGTCCAGCGACCAGTCAAGATGGAAATGCTCAGTCCCCCTCAACCACAACAAAGTGTCCCTTTCTGTTCTTAACCTGTGGAACGCTGGGATGTCTTATGATAATAAAAGTAAGTCTGAACCCCATAATATTAAAACGGTACACAGGATATAATGCACCAAACAAAAACTTAAAGACTAATTAAAATAAATTAAGAAATATATTTATATTGAGAAATGATAAAGATAAGCATCCTGAGATTTGTTTTTCAACTACAAAAAGATTGTAGGGCTATCATTCCAAAAGGCTGCCATAAAGATTAAATAATACACAAAGAACACATATAAAGTTCTTAAGAGTGGTACAAGGTAAGTGCTTGACAAATGGTAGCTACTAGTACCATCAGGACCAAGAGCAAGGTCATTAATGACAGCTTCAAATCTGGGCTAGTTAACCGGTTCATCTGAGCACACAAATTTGCACACTGTTACCCACTGAGGAACTTCTATTCTGAACAACACCAAGACGGGCATATAGAAACCATGATGAAATGAAAAGTTCCCTGAGGAGGCAAATGGCTAGCAAGAACATTTTTGTCATCTTAAAGTAGCATTAAAAAAAAAAAAAAAAAAAAAAAAAAAAAAAAAAAAAAAAAAAAAAAAGCAAAGGCTCACTCACAGGATATAAACATTATATCCTTTCATAGAGAAGGGAGACAGTTGGGAAGTCTTTTAACACTGAGAAGAACTGTCCATGACACAGTTTAGTGAAAAGTAAAGATGTCAATGTAGAAGAATCGTTGCTGGATGTACACTTCTCTGATGTGCACATGTGGTGATGTAGCCTACAATCACAGCACTCAGAAGGCTGAGGCAGGAGGATCACTGAGTACCAGGCCAGCCTGGGTTACACAGTGAGACCCTGCCTCAAAAAAAAAAAAAAGAGGAAGAAGGAAATCATTCAGAACTTGCCTAACAAGAGTCAGTACAGTATCTTCACCTTGGCTTATCCCAAGGGCCATCTTAATTTTTTTCTCTATTTCATAAAGCATTTTATTTTTTTCTGTTCCCAGTATGGAATTTATTTTCTAGAAAATCCACTTTTATGCTTTAGACTTTTTTTTTTCTTCTCTATTCTAACCCTAGAAATAAAAGGCTTTGGCAAAATAAGAAGAAAATGAGCCAGGCCTGGTGGTACATTCTTTCAAACTCAGCCTTTCGAAGAGATGGAGGCAGGAAGATCAGGAGTTCGAGGCTAGCCTTGGCTACCTGGAAAACTGGGCTCATGAGACCTGCCTTAACTCTCCCAAAAGAAGAAATCAAGCTGCTACTTCAACCCTGAGAGCAATCCCAGGCAGGCCCCTCACAGTTTTCTTCAGAAAGTAAAGAGCTCTTGGGGCAGGGAGGAGTTACTGAACACTGACCGTGTGCAGCTCAAAGGCTGGCTGCAGAGAAGCCGCTTTCTGAGAGGCAGCGGGTGAGAACATGGCGCATATGGCTTTCCTCTTCCCACAGTGGAAGAGCTATTCCTTCAGACATCCAGAAAGTGGCCAGGTTGCTCCACGGCAGATTTATCTACTTTAGAATTTACTATCTGTAAAGCATTCCAAAAATAGGTAATAACTTTTGACTTCAAGCCAGGCATGGTGGCTCAGGCCTTTAATCCTAACACTCCTGAGGCAGAGGCAGGCCTGGTCTACATGGATACCATACATACATACATAGCAGGTTCCAGGACAGCCAGGGATACATAGATCCTGTGTCCAAAAAAAAAAAAAAAAAAAAAGAAAGAACTTTGATTGTATTGCCTTTGCCCACTTTCCTGACGCTATTTTTAAAAACAAAACAGATACATCCCTTCCCAAAATACATGTAAGAGCTCAGCAGTGAAATGAGGGAAGTGGCTTTGAGTCTTCTGCACATTACTATGCCTGTGAGACAGTAAACTGAAGATGGGCGAACCCAGGCCCCCGGTTCCCCTCACAGTCTCTCCGTTCTGTGAGCACACTTACGGCTCGAGAGGCAGCACTGATGCCCAAGCAGTCTGTGAGGCACAGAGATGGCGATGTTCTCTATACTGGCCCGACCAAGTACCAGATAAAATACTGTCAGATCTTCAAGAAGGCATTCATTTAAAAGGGGCTCTAGCCGCTCAGATCTAGATAACCTCTCAGTCAGCACCACTGCCCGGGATTTTCGACCCCACCCACAATGGCTTGTCAAGTAAGCAAGAAGTTGTATCATTTTGGTTGCCTTGAAATCCTGGTCCACTGAACCTCCGAGATCTTGGGTCCCTATTCAAGGCTGTGGATCCCCACAGAAGACTCTCTCTGTTACAGAGAAAGCAGGGACAACGCCCTTGCTGGAATGGCTCTGGCTCTTTATCAGTCAGTACAAGCTGGTTTCAACCACGCTTCCGGTTGCCCAATTGAAAACTCGCTTCAGCAAGGGGAGGAAAAACGCTACATCCCAGAAACATACCATATTTCTGAGATAAAGGAGAAGCATGCTTCATTTGAGCTAAGTCCCCTGTGAGAGCACCGGCCTCTCGCCATTTAGATCCTTGCAGATTCAATTACGGCTTCTGAGAAGAGGTCCCGTCCTGGGCACCGAAAAAAAAAAGAAATTAAAGTGAAAAAGTAGAAATTCCCAGGCCAAAGCGGCATTTGAGGCCAGTTCAGGGCAGCGGAGGAGTTCAGGAAGCAGCAGCAGGCCTAAGAACTGGAGTTTCTCCAACCCGGTCCGGCCTCAGGGCCTCACGGCCCCACCTGCACCCCAATCATCGGCACCGCTCGTTCGATCCACAGCAGGTCCAGCGGAGCTGAGGCGCGAGTTTCCCGGCGGTGAATTCTGTGGATTCGCAGAAGGTACAGGATGATGGCCAGCAGCACCACCACGGTACAAGCGAAGAAGAGATAGTGGTTGTAGACAAAGGAGAGACGGAACCAGCTGCCATGGGCCTGCCGGATGCCTCCCTGCCGAAGGTCCCTAGGGGAGTGGAGAGAGCTGTTGGTTTCAGGATGAAACGTGCTGCGATTGGAAGGGCCCATCCTCGTTCACCCCACGAAACCAGCCGGACCCACCAATTAAGCGTAAGAACATCTGGACCAAAGGGATGCCCTGGTCTATGGGAGGCGTCCCATGGCCTTAGATGCTGCAGAATGTAGGGACAAAATCAAAAGGCCTTCGAAACTGGTTTAAAAAAAATTAACAGAAAGACAAAACCGGTCACCTGTAACATAAATCTTAAAATATACTTTGTAAATACAGCAGAGTGTCCCTTGAATCCAAACAGGACAAATTGAACGTGTCTAGATCTTAAAAAAAAATAGTTAAAGCATTGCTTAGGATCTATCATGTATAGACACGAAGGCAGTTGTGGCCTGACCAGTTGTATTATAACCTGGAAAAACAGCATTATAAAAACAAAGAGCACCTACATCTTCCAGCCACTAGATCCACTTTGTTTTGTTTTGTTTTGTTCTTTGAGGCAGGGCTTCTCTGCATAGCCTTGGCTGCCCTGGACTGGCTTTGTAGAGCAGGCTGGCTCACAGCAATCCATCTGCCTCTGTCCTCCTGAGTGCTAGGATCAAAGGCGTGTGCCACCATACCCAGCTCTAGATTAATTTTATCTGTATGACCTGCAATGTTTTGTTGCTGTTGTTTTTGGGTTTTGTTTTTTTTTTGTTTTTTTTTTTTTGTTTTTTGGGTTTTTTTTTTTGAGACAGGTTTTCTCTGTGTAATCATTCTGGCTGCCCTGGAACTCGCTTTGTAAACCAGGCTGACGTCGAACTCACAGAGATCTTCCTGCCTCTGCCTCTTGAATGCTGGGATTAAAGCCTCATGCCACCACTTCCCGGCTTTACAGTGTTTTTAAAAGATATGAATCTTCGAATGGAAAGCTTTCATATACAATGTGGATTTCTGACTTCTCTGGACAAATGGGAACTGGCAAATGCTGGGACAGATAGCAGCTCTGTGTGGCAGCGTCAGCACTTCAGCTGTGCACACGCTCTGGTTCTACACCACGTCACACAGCCCGCTTCCCCTACGTCCCCTGCCTGCTTCCTGCTAAGAGAGTTTAGAGGAAAAGGCACAGCTGAGTTAAAGTACTTATTTTATCTGAACCTTTTTCTAGCAAAGAGGGCCTAAAACCTGTTCCAAATGTCTTACAGGACACAGTGGCAAGGCATGGGTCTCACAGCTGGATGATAGTTCCCATGCTAAAACCATGTCAGGTCCTAATGCTAGACTGCCCCAAACTGGGCCAGGTCAATAACACATCTGGAATGATTCTACCCACTAGGAAAGATGGTATTACTAGACAGTCTCCTTCAACTCCCTGTTACTCCCAGACTAACTGAAGACTGACATTTTAGGTCATCCGTGGTCTCCTAGAAATGTTCCGTGTGAACCCAGTCCTAAAGACTGACCTGTTGGAGAGCAAACAAAGCTGGCTTTCTGAAATGGCAAAAGACGAGGAAGGGATTCAGAGCAACTTTCTGTTTCAGCAGGCCTGACTGGAACAGCGGCTCAGACGGAAGGAACAGTAGGAGTGTGTGGACGGTGGAAGGGTAGAGCTGGGCACTGGAGAAATCTATTCCGACTCATCAACTTAACACCCTCTGAGGTCAAGGTCAGCGTGACTTTACCTGAGTGGCAGGAATCGGGTTTTATACAGAATGGCTCCCAGCGTCCACTGCACCTCTCGGTCGTACACAAGCTGTGCTGTCTGCAGGTTCGGGTAGTCGTAGGGGAAGTGGAACCCCTCGTGCAGGACTTGGTACATCCAAGCTGACTTAAAACACTGATACCTGTGTGGTGAGAAGGAAGGCCAGTAAGTGTCTTTACCGTCTCACCTCTAGGGGGAGCCAAATTTGAGGCGGTGGCTGTGGTTTCCTCCTGTTCTGATTTCTTCAGAGAACACCCTGAAAAACCATGACTGTTTGTGCAATACCTGTGATTCGCATAAATGGAAACACGACCCACGACCGGCACGAGCGGGGTGACACCGGCACAGGGGTGCCATGAGCTAGGTTATGTTTGTTTGGTCTTTGAATTTGTCTTTTCTGCTGTTCTGGAACTCACTCTGTAGACCAGGCTGGCCTCAAACTCAAGAGATACATCTGCCTCTGCTGGGATGAAAGGTGTGAGCCATTATGCCTGGCACCTTAGAATTTTTCAAACTAAACATTTAAAAATGGGAGGATTATGAATCCTTGACAAAACGCTGACAGTTGTTGAAACTAGGTAATAGTTGACATTTTTCTTTCTACTTTTTGGCTAATTTTCTCTAAAATAGAAAAGGTCATTACTGTTGATGCTGTATCACTCGCAGGGCGTGTTCTTTGCTACTGGTTTCCTGACACAGAAATGGGCTCACTGTTTAGTCCCAATCCTCCAGAAAGCCACTATCTGAAATAACCTCATTCTCCATTCTGTACTGTTCAATGATTCTCCATCATGAGCCATGTTTTAAGACCACATCCAAAGCAGAAAAGAAATTTACTTACTTGAGCCGATGCTCATCTGCATGTGAAGAAAAGAGGCCGTTCTTGAATCTCTGCGCTAGCACCGACCAAGCCATGCCACAGTAATCCTGAATAAGCACAGACACAGTGCAACACTAAATCACGGCAAGTTCTCCAGCTTCCCACCGGCATGGCTGCTCTGTTCCTCGTTCCTCGGGAGCTGCTGTCTCACCGAGGAAGATGAATGGCACACGGGACCACTGAACAGGATGCCGTGCCTCCTCTAGAGCCCGAAGGTTAGGAGTAAGAGAAACACAAGAGCCAGAGAGCTAGTTCCAAATTCCACTCTGTGGAAAACTCACAGGAAAGGAGAATCAGCCTGTCTGGCGGTTACCTCTCTCAAAGATTTGGGGAGGGGGGGTGTTCAGAAAAGGAAGGTTTGCTGACTACCAGATGCCATCTACTGTGTGCCAGAGGATGAAGCAGTGAGGGAAAAAAAAATCCTGTCCCTGTGAGGCCTACAGTCTACTGATAAAGAGAATAAACACATGGGCATCACAGAGTATTCAAGACGGCACACTGTTCAGTGGAAAATAAAGCAGGAAATGCGTACGATGAGGAGGGTGGTAATTGTGGATAGGGTATCTAGGGAAGGTGGGAGGACCACATTAAGTCAGCATCTTAAAAAGTCAGGGGAACGACCTCCTTAACTCGGACAACTTACTGCGTCACTAGCAACTCAGCTAAGTAACCCCTTGTGCCCTTTGCTGTTCAACACAACAGAATCTGAAGAATCTTTGTGACAAGAAAAAGACCCAAGCCAGGCCAGTCAGGGAGCCCTGGGCTCTGGGAGAAAAGAAAGAAGGGGTGCGTGGGGCTGGAGACGGAGCAACATGAAGCAGGAGCGCCCCAGTAGTCCCCAGACTGCCTCTGGGGATGGGGCAGCAGAAACTTCAGATACCGCTCTGTCGGAAGTCCACCCCAAGAGAGCCTTAGGAGCTGGAAAAAGAAAGGAAAGCATAGGAAACACAGGAGGAGAGATTCTTTCCATCTCTGTCTCTCAGGCAGATCACAAAATTAGACAAGTCAAAGAGATGACTCATTTCTAGAGGCTTGGGCCCCTGTGTGGTACTGCTGCGAGATGGTGGGACAGAGTCCTTAAGTGGGGACTAGTGAGATCACTGGGGATGCCCTTTAAAGGGCATTACAGGCCCCAGCTCCCTCTGCACTCTCTGTGACCAGCTCATGAGGTAAACGGTTTGGCTCAGCCACGCATTTCCACCATGATCTTCCCAAAGCAAAGGGGCCAGTTTATTGTGAACTGGAACCTACAAAGTGAGACAAAATAAACTTTTCATCTTTTTATAAGTCTAACATTGCAAGTTACAATGACTTTTTTTTTTCAGTTGACTACAAACCAGGCGTGATGACACATGCCTTTCATCCCAGCTCTTGAGAGGCAGAGGTAGGGAGACCAGCCTGGTCTATATAGCAAATTCCAGGCTAGCCAGATCAACATAGTGAGACTCTATCTCAAAAACAATAACTAAACCAAAAAATAAACTGAGAGACAACAACAAACTTGATTAACACAGCCTCTAAACTAAGGCGGGAGGCACAGGGAGCTGGTCAAACATTTAGCTGTGCGGTAACTAAAGATCTGTGCCTGTAAGATGTTTAAGTTCTATATATGTGCAAAGTGAATGCTTACTCTTTCACTTAAAAAATGTATCTCCACCATCATGGGGGTTGGCAACAGCTTCTATCAAGGACCCATACCATCCTGGCCTCTTTTTTTAAGCTTTCTTTTTAATTGTTTTTGAGGGGAGTACATGTGTGTGCCACACATGTGTGAGTACCCAAGGAGATCAGAAAATGGTATCAGACCCCTGGTGCTGAATCTTTACAGAAGCTTGTTGTAATGGACCCCGGGAACTAAACTCTGGTCCTCTGGAAGAGCAACAATTGCTCAGTCACATAGCCATCTCTCCAGCCCCGACTCTGGCCTCTAAATAGTCCAAGCAAAGAGAAGAAAACCAGACCTGTTCACCAAGAGCACATTACAAGTCAGACACCTAGCCAAGGGGGATATATATGAGATGACACTTCTGAGCCATAATCGTCAGGGAAGCTGGAAGAAAAGCTAACTATTCACGATTAGACCAATTTCACAACCCGGTGATAACACATCCAAGGAAACCTAAACACACTCATCGGAAGGCAGCTTAGCAGAGATGGTCCCTTAACCTCTGAGTTCACTTTCTCCTCTATAAAATGAGGAGGCTCACAGGCTCTTGTAAAGAACCAAATGAGGTCCTGCCTGCAAAGGCCTCTGCATACTGCCTAGCACAAAGGCAGGCATCCAGTGGATGGCAGCTGCCGGTCTGAGCCACGTTGATGATTAGTGAGTTACCTGAGCAGCCTTGGCGAATGTTGGCCCGTGGTAGCGGCCACCAATGCGCAGCACATCCTCTGTGCAGTAAAAAAACTCCGAGAAGCCATAGAACTCGCTGTTGTTGAAGTCGATTGGCGACTGGTAAATGCCATTCAGTGAGGCCTGGCTGGTGTTGGAACGGGCCAGCAGGGGGCTCAGCATTGCCCTACAAGTGGCCCAGTCTCCCTTTCCCCGGACATGCAGGGCCTGGCTGTTCCTCTCCAAAACGTCCGTGAGTCCCACAGGCAGGCACGGGTCCAGGAATGGATTGTCAGCACTCAGGCCTGTCTTCTGGCCCAGCAATCTGTCACAGTGACAAAAGCAGACCGAGCGTGAGAGTGCGGAGCCCGAGCTCTCCTAAGAACCAGGAAGCACTTCACGGCGCCGAGCGGCAGGGACTGAGCAGGATATTATTACGATGCAGCAACACACGCATATTTGAGCATATTAAGTTTGGAAAAAGAGAAATGTATGCACCAGGGATGGATGTTACACAACCCTGTCATCAACATGTATTTCCTGGTGCAGAGTCGAGCAGGAGCCGTGAATCTGCTCTTCTCCCTCTGACCTTCATTCCCACAGGCCTCTGAGAAGTGCAAGGAGTTCACTCCTGTTTAACACCCAACTAAAGGCTGGAGAGGTGGCTCAGTGGATACAGCACTCGGTGCTCAAGCGTGAGTGAGTCTAAGTCCGAAGAACACATGGAATAGCCAGGTGAGGTGGCGAGTGACTAATCCCAGCGCCTTACAGGGAGGCGGGAAGCAGAAAGAAAAATCCCTGAAGCTAATGGGTCAGCTAGCCTGTGTGCACAGTAGTGGGCTGTTGGCACATGGGACAGGAATGGAGCCGTGTGAGGAGACTTCTGAGTGTGTGTGAGAACACTCTGAGAAAACAAGACTTCAGTTTCTTCAAACCGCAGAACTGGTCTCAGAACGTTTTCCTGTTCCTCCCAGGTGTGGGAGATAGGCATGAGCTTTACTTCAGATTATTCATTATTGCTTACTCCTGTTATTCACCCAAATGCTTAATGCTTTAACTGACTCTGTGGAAACACGTTTGTCACATGTGGCTTGTCCCTGTGACTGTGTACAGCCTGAACTCATGACCACCTTACTCGTGTGACCCTTCTTATTCCTCAGAGTAGAAATCGTCTGAGGCTCTGAATAAAGGTGGGTACGGCATGAGACCTCAGTCGCCTCATTCATCAGCTTCCTTCTCCCAGGTCCCAATGCCTCTAGAGCAGTGACAACGGAGACTCTGACCTCAAACAAGGCGAAGGGGAGGACTCAAGAGTCCCATGACAAACACATGCTGCATTCACACATATGAACATGTATACAAATACATACACACACACAAACATGTACCACATACACCACCCAAGACCTCAAGTGTCCCATGACAAACACATGCCAGCATTCACACATACCAACATGTATACATATATACACACATATGTCCACATGCACACACACACAAACCACATATACTACTGTACCTGGGCTTTGGGCTATTTATTGGGTTCTTTTACCCACCTCCCTACACCTCCCCTATCCCTAACTCCCCAGTTCCAGGTGGGAGAGAGAGGAGGTTAGAGGGGAGGGAGGGCGCCGACAGCATCACTTCTTGCTGATTACGGGCACTGAGTTCCTTGGGGCAAATTTTATCTTTGTTGTCAAGGATCTCCAACCAGAATTCCAGCAATCCAGCAACCAGCAACAGCGGCAGGAGCAAAGAGCAACGGGCAGAGCAGCCGACTCCAGGTCTCTGGCATTTATACTGTCTGAAGAAGCCCCAGAATTCCAAACATAAACTATCCTCAGCTGGCAGAACCTCAACCCTGCTAGAGCGCTAAACAAATCATAGTCAGCTGCTATGGGCAATCTGAAGCAGCCTGATATCCCACATCCGGGATTAAAACAAAAACACATTCATATAACATTTCTGTGTTTTCAAAGAAACCAAACATTTTCACCATACACCACCCAAGGCCTCACGTGTCCTATGACAAACACATGCCCACATTCACACATCTCAACACACACACCCACATACACACCCCATATACACAGAAAAATGCACACACACACAAATGGGAAGAGACAAAGTGGGAAGGGCTCAGGGGGGAGGGCTTCCTGAAGAGGAAGCCACGGCGGTGCCACAGCCCAGCTGAGTGAGTGGTTCTGGGACAGAGCAGGCAGAACGTCCGCTCCAGGGATTGAACCACAAACCCCTCAGCCTCCAGGAGGGAGAAGGGGGCAGGACTTGATTCCTTTCATGGCCTCTCACAGTTCTACTTCTCAAGTCTATTCTTGTCTAGCCATCGCCTTCTCATTATGAAGGAGATTGATATGCAGATCCCGCCAAGATTGGAAATCACATGGAAGCCACTGGAAACAGCATTAGTAGTTCATTATCAGTTCATAAATAGGCAGATGTGAACGAGTGGACTCGTGTCATGAAGATGCACCATGACAGGAACTGAAGGAGGACATGAGAATGGGCAATGCAACAAGATACTCCGGAATACACGGAGTCTATGCTAAAGACACGTCACTAACTACAAGGAAAACTCATGAAGAGAACCATCCCAGGATAGGGCTGTCTAGATTGGCAGCTACGGGAGCCAGACTTCGACCTAACTCACGAGTAGGCAACCTCAGAGCTTGGCTGGAGAGTAGCAAGGCATGGGAAATGGATGCAGTCGGGAAAGAAAGCACAGGACCTCTGGAGGGAAGCACAGCAGATGCTGAAGGAAAGGACTGATGTGGAGCTTTGGGGGCCAGGGTTCTCCAGACACGGCAGCACCAGGAGGGGCAGCGAGGCCCAGTGCGGACTAACGCAAACACTAGGGAGAGTTGGGGCCCTTGTCCCCCGCGGCTCTGTGAACTCTTAGCGATGGAGGCTTAAATACCTGGAAAGACTGATGAGACAGTATTTTCTTCAACACTCCCTAAATATAAGACAGGTTATTTCAGTGGGACACGCCAGAGCCTCTTAAAGTTCGTTTCATTGCTTACCCAATGGAAGCAGATGATTTTCTGGTAGAAAAGAAATGCTGTTTATTGTATTTTCTTCAATATGCACAATGATAAATAACTTTAATCAAAACAGTTACTTCATAGCTACTGACTATGGCCTGAAGGTATTCAAATGAAAAATCAGTGATCTCGGGGATGGTGAGAGGCTCACTGTTTAGAGCCCTTCCTGCTTTTGAAGAGGACACAAAATAAGTTCCCAGCACCCACCCAAGAGCCTACAACCAACTATATCTCCAGGTCCTGGGGATCCAATACCTTCTGATGTCTGCAGGTACCTATCTACATTCAAATACACATGAATACATAAATAAAAATAAAAACAAGCCTTTTTAAAGAAATCAGTGCCGGTGGTGGTGGTGCACGCCTTTAATCCTAGCACTTGGGAGGCAGAGGCAGGTGAGTTCGAGGCTAGCCTTGTCTACAGAGTGAGTTCCAGGACAGCCAAGGCTACACAGAAAAACCCTGTCTTGAAAAACCAAAAGAAAAAAAGAAAAAGAAATCAGTGATCTTTGCAGTTCTGGATGAAAACTGGCTATTCAAAACTTGAGATACTATTTTAAAGGCAATTTTAACTTAATATACTTGTTAGGTTTAATGCACACAAGCAAACCTAACTTTCACATGAGGGGACCTAATTCATTTTTCCTACCGCACACATCTCATGTCATCAGGTGTGGCTGTCAATACAGAAAAAGATGACAAAAGATGGGCATTTCTGCCAGCATTTCTACTAAAGGGCAGAATGCAGAACAGGGTCCTGGAAAGGAAGAAACAGACTTATTCATCATAGCCAAGATATCACTGTTTCTTCCTAATGTCTGCAACCTGGTGACATTGTACTTTAGAAATGTAGGTTCCTGAATGCTGGTGTGAGTTGGCAGCGGGAAGGCTCCTCTTGTCTGAGGAGTCGGGGAGGTGGGGATAAGGAAAAGAGGGAGGGAGGATGGGAATGGAAGGAGAGAAGGAAGGCCTACGATCAGAATGTAAAGTGAATCAATAAATAAATAAAATTTTACCTGTTTTTGGTAAGTGTTTCATTCAGCACAAGCTCTTCGTAGCGCTGCCGGGCAAAATTGCCTCCAAAGCCCAGAAAGGTGGTGACGTAAACCCTGTACACATGCTCCGTGTGCTGCACGTCACAGCCCAGGTTGAACTCAGCCAGCAGGATCTTGGCAGCTTCTTCCTGTGATGCAACATCAAGAGAAAAAAGAGTTTCTGTTCCTTTTTCAGAGAGCGTGGAGTGTATATCCAGAAGCTGTTTCTCTGACCGCCCTTTATAATGGCCTTTTATCCTCACGGACTCCTGTAATCCCAGCACTCATGTAGCTGAGGCAGGAGGATCACAATTCAAAGACAATCTGAGTTAGGTAGCAAGGCCCTGTGTGTCTGTGAGGTCATCTCCCAAAAGGGTTAATGGAAGACAGCGGACGCACCCTGAACGTGGGGACAGTGCCATGGGTTGGGGTCCTGGAAGCCAAGTACCCGCCTTCTCTCTGCACCTCCTGACAACAGATGCAATGTGGCCACCGCCTCACGCTGCCTCACACTCCGCTCCTGCCATACCTTCCCCACCATGACGGACCGCGTCCCCTCAAAATGCAAGCCAAAGTAACCCTTCCTCTTCAGTTGTTTCTTTCAGGCATTTTGGAACAGCAATGGGAGAAGCAACTGACACAGGGCAGGTGAGTTTATTTACAGTGGATGCCGTTTTCTGATTTGGACCTCTGTATTTTCATATTCTCTACAATGGAAATGTACTATTTTCATAAGCAGAAAAAAAAATTCCTTCAACTAAAAAAGATCATCATGAGACCTATTTTATGACCTTGTCTAAAACTATTCAAGAAGCTTTCATATTTCCTGTGACAGCCTTGGGCAGTGGGAAAGTTCAGTTTTATCTTCAAAATAAAGGGGGCGGGGAGTGTTGTTCTTTGGGTGTTCTGTTTCATTTTTTTAATTCCTTTGTTTGTTTCAAACAAGGTCTCACTATATAACTACAGTTGGCCTGAGAGTCGCCATGTAGGTCAGGCTGGCCTCAAATTCACAGAGATGCACCTGTCTTTGCCTCCCAAGCGCTGAAATTAAAGGTGTGTACTAACATGCCAGCCTTGGTTTTCGTGTTTAACTTTGTAGAGGTTAAATTAATTATGTCTTTGAGCTCATGGTCCAATGCCATAGCAAAGCCCTCTTTTTTTTCTAATTAGTCCTGTTCATCCTCATATCCAATCCCATCCCTACCCCGAGCCCATGAATGACCATCCCAATGCACTTCCTGTATGTTTTAATGTGTATTAGGCAAAATGGAAATGAGTATTTGAATTGTAGTATTTTAAATTTGTGAAATGACGCTGGACCTAGCATTTGCACTCCTAGATTTATAGCAAAGAGACCTAAAAACTTATGTAAGAAAGTGTTCATGAATATTCACAGCACTACTATCCATAACAGCCTAGAACCCACTGATACTGAATAAAGGAGCTGTGGAGCTGTCATTCAATGGAAAGTTACCGGCCACCAAAGCTCGTGGGGTGCTGGTGTGTACCATAACATGGGTTACCTAGCAAACATTCTCTAAGAGTCAGACATACAAGACTATTGCATAATTTCCTTATAAGAAAGGTCCAGAACAGGCAGATCCCAGATGAGAGAAACTGACAGGGAGATGGGATAACGCGAGATGACTGCCGAGGAATTCGGAGTTTCCTCGTGGCAGTGTTCAAAATGTTCTGGAGTTCCAGGTGACAGCTGCACATTCTTTGCTTCGTAACCATCCATCTTTGAGCCACTACACTGCTGTGTCTGCATCTAATTTGGTGCTTGCAAGTATTTCCACTGTTGCTTTCTAAGTCTGTGCACACAAGTCACTTAAGATCTTACAGCCCAGGGCCACCTGTCACCTATTCCTTAATACTGGAACCATGTGTTCATTCTACCTATTGAAGAGATACTAACAATGTCAGTGAAAAAGCTTCATAATCACACTAGTTCCCCCAACCTCCAACCCTAGCATGGACATCTCTGACTTTAAAATACACATTTCCAAAAGTCCCACCCATGGAAGTTCAGACATAAATGTTCCTTAGGTACCTCACACTCAATGAACACAAACATGAATCATCTGAACTCATGAAGTCTTGAGACTCTGGAGCTAAAAGACCAAGAGATGCTCTGACTCAGTATCAGAGCCACAATGTTTGCTCTGACCCCATCTCAGGACCCCACTACTCCCTGTGGCCCCGTCTCAGGACCCCACTAATCCCTGTGGCCCCGTCTCAGGACCCCACTACTCCGTGGCCCCGTCTCAGGACCCCACTACTCCCTGTGACCCCGTCTCAGGAGCCCACTACTCCCTGTGACCCCGTCTCAGGACCCCACTACTCCCTGTGACCCCGTCTCAGGACCCCACTACTCCCTGTGGCCTCGTCTCAGGAGCCCACTATTCCCTGTGACCCCCATCTCAGGACCCCACTACTCCCTGTGAC